TTATAATTTAAATACATGTTAGATTAAAATATTATGTAGATAGGTAATTGAAAACCAATTACATCTTCGACCACGTTATACTGAATTGAAATACCTTTCAAATTTAAATGTAAAATTAACCAAATTACTAAGACCTACATTTTAATAGTGTTATTGTAAAGTATCTATAAACTATATACTCAAACCTTTATGAAAGTTTCACTTTTGTAATAATATGTTATAAACCAGAATTCAACAGTAACAAAAAGGGTTAATTCAATAAATTACTCGATCAATTATTAATTGCAATTTGTAATAGCATTATCAGTATCTGACCTCATACTATACGTAAACATTCTTGCCAGAACGCAATTGTTATTTATTATTAATAGTTGTGGCAATTAAGATATTTCAATTTTGTGCATGAAATATTGCGTATATTGTATTCAAAGTTGCACTATATTCAGTAATTAGTTGCTAATAATTATAAAAAAATTCACACACAATTACTTTATCTCGAAAAGTATGAATGTTTTTGTAAATATTTTTTTTTAAATAATCTGAAAATGCAAAACAACATTTATGAAAATAAAATTATATTTTCTACTACTTGTATCGTGTCATTTGTTGTTTGTAATTTTATTTTAAAAAAAGACAGTTCTTAATTTCAAATTCTGAAGCTGAACTTTTTCTTATGTTTTTTATTATTCAAAAAATATGAATATTAGAAATTTAAAACATTCCACTGTTCTTTAAATTATATTTTTCTATTACAATGACATTTACAAAATATCGAATTTTCTGACAACATTTTTCAAAATTACGAAAACGTGTAAACTATTTTATAATAACAAATACATAACACTTTCAATTTAAAGTTGAGTCTTAATAATATATTATTTCATTTTTCATACATTTTTTTATCAGAAAATTAAAAATATAGAAAAAAATAATTTTAATAGGTACACATTTCGAGTTCAAATGTAGAAGAAATCGGTATTGATAATAATATTGACATATTAGTTAGTTTATTATTTAAAATAATATAATATATGTGATTTTATTCGGAAAAAATTAGTTCAGCTATGCATATTTTATTAATAGAAAAATATATTACCATAGACAGTAAAATCTCGTTGTGCCAAAACTCAAATTGGACAGGAAAAAAGTTTGAGATATCAAAAAGTTCAAGATATTGAAATTTATTGTTATGGCATTTTATTATTTCAAGGGGATTTTTATCAAGTTCAAGATTACAAAAAAGTTCGACATTCGACATTCTACTGTAGTAACATTTAGTAACATTCATTTAAATAAAATTTAATAAAATAGCCTTAGAAATATATATAAATAGGCTGAAGATCGCCGACGTCTCTGTAATAATAGTTGTTCGTGTACAATGGTTTATCGAAGAATTCAAATTGAACACAACCAACAGCTGCAGTGACCAACAACTCAATAGCGAGACGAACTCTCTATATTTATACAGCATAGGAGTGGCTTTCGCAGTTTATTATTGATAAATCATCTATTTGACGCAATGTGTTGTAGAGTTATTTGTGGAGCGTGGCTGTGTGACAGATACTTGTACAATACTATTATCATATCATTCATATCCGACCATCATAATAATATTATCTGATGCTCGTCTGCTGCAAAATACCAGAGAATATTGTAACGGATCGGTTGCGTCTCGCGTCAATGCATGTTACGCACTATAATACGATGTAAACATCGAAATTCGTACCATAATCATAATTAATAATTATTATGACATTCAACTAGCTTATAAACTTTAACATTAAGTACAATATTCTACAAATACAAGTGTATCATTTTGTAACATTATTATTGTCTGATTTCTGATACTAAAAACAAATGGAACAGATAAAAACAAAAGGTACAATATAATATTAGTACAATATTATAATATTAATATCATATAATTAATATATATTATTATTGTTTTTAATAGTGTGAATGGGTAATTATAGATTCTTGGTATAACTAATAAGAAATAGCTAAAACTAATCAAAAATAATTTGAAGACTGCATCATGTATGGTAATTTATAACAATATACCTACTTAAAAGTTTAAGTCTTCATGAATAATATTTTTCAACGACAACAAAATAACTAACATCGTATTCTTCGTTAAAGTATCCAATTTAATCAAAATGTGAACTTCCAATGTTTATAAAAAGATTTTGGGTTTCAGAAAGAACTACTTATGAGAAATATACTATTAAATGTTCGAGTCTTAACTATAAAAATTTAATATTTTAAAAATGTTACAACAAAAAAAGTTATAAATTTTAATAACAAATATTGTTAAAATTTTAAATCTTATAAAAACAAAAATCGTGACTATTTATTTTTAATTATTTTCAATTGCGATACAAATAACTTAATTGGGATCTTGTATTAAATATTCAAGCTTCATGACTTAGCATAAAAATATTTAACAACACTTTAATAGTTTAATCCAAAATCTAAAAAAATTGAGAATGCCAGATGCCTACAAATTTCAAATGAATCGAAATATTTTGAAAATTTTACTGGTGCATAGAAAATGATAATATTTTAGTAATAGTGAAATATATTAAGTTTCTACGATTTATATATTGAAATACAATGAAGAAACAAAAATTCCTTAAGGATAAATCTTTATTGTACGTTTCAATGTCTAATGTTGTCATATTGTTAACTTTAATTACTCTTAAGAATTTAAGCTTTACACAATTTTTTTTTTAATTTTCAGTAATAAAAACTTTTGAGGAATCTTGTTTGAATTTTCAAACTTAAGATGTTTAAATTAAACACTTTATAAATTTTTAATTAAAAAATAATTTGAAAAATTATGTGGTTGATGTCAATTTTGTGATTTTGATAAATATGATAAAAATTTTGTAAAAATGTAAACTTTAAAGTTTGAAAAAATAAATATGAATATCAGTTATTGATATTTTTTTATATCATTGCAAGAACAACTTTTGAGGAATATTGTATTTACAAGCTCTTTTATATCATTATAAGAAAATAAAAAATTGTACCATACATAAAGATAAAAAAAAATATACTTACTAATTTCCAGTTTTTCCAGATTATTTTTAAAGGTACTGAAAGAATTTAGCTTCTAAATCCCTTCCTGAATATTAACTAAATTTAAATCGCTAAAAAAAACCACCCTTAAAGTTAAAAATCTAAGAATTTTTTCCTAGCAAAATTTCTAGATATTTTCACATTTCTAAGCAAATGTGACTACTGACACAAAATAATATAAAAATTAAAAAAACACATCATTATTGTGAAACCAATACGTTTATTGCTCCGCTCCGAATCTAATATCAAAGAAAAACATCTTCTTAATATAAAGCTATGCTATATATGCTGTATATGCTATATATATTATTATTATGCTATTAATATTTATAACGGTAAAATAAATAAAATAAATAAAATAATATCAATACCTATACGAGATATTTTGGAATTAAATTAGCTACCTGCATTTGACCAAGTATGATTACAATGGATAATGCTAAAGTGGAAACCGGAAAAAAAAGACCACTGAGTCGTCCTCGAATGAGATGGATGGGGATGTCGAAGAAAAAGATGTGGAAGACCCTTTGAGCACAGGTTTTGAGGGAGATGGTACAGGATTGAGATAAGTGGAGGGATTTGGTGTTTTTGGTGAAAACTTTGGGAGAGTTATGAAGGTCCAAATATCTGGTAAAAACTAAAAAGTAGCAAAGAGAAGTCTTGGAAATCCTTCACTTCAAGCATCATACCCAGAATCGACTCTAGTATAATCTGGAACAAATAGTTAGATCCCTGAGTGGACAAAGTAGAGAAAAACTCACCCACTTAATCATTAATAACACAATACACACGAATCCTATTGATGGGGCCAATCACCTCGGAGTCTCCTTCCAAACAAATTGCTCCGATGACAATTACGACAAGACTTTTGGGACTAATAACATCCAAAAAAAGGAACACCCAGTATATCTCCAACATTGATCCTGCTTTACAAGACCAGGTACATCTAAACCTTCCGATCTCTCTTAAGGAACTGAATTGGGCACTGAGAAAATGCTCCAGTCTCTAGCCAGTTAATGATGATATCCCTTACATATTCTTACACAATTTGCCTCTTTCAGCACTCATCTACATTCTTTACATCTATAACAAAATCTAGAACTGTGGTAGGCTTCTCAAAGCCTGGAAACATTCAATAGTGGTTCCTATACTAAAACCCGGTAACGAAAAATTCAAATTAAACAGTTACAGACCCATCTCATTATTAAATACCATGTGCAAGCTACTTGAAAAAAATCATCGATATTAGATTGCGTTGGTTTCTAGAAAAAATAAATTATCTTATCCCCCAGCAAAATGGCTTTCGAAAACACAGACTCATATATAATTCTCTGTAGGACATTCAAAAAACATTCAAAAACAAACAAGTTCTATTACTATTTGCACTAGATATAGCCAAATCCTACGATACAACCTGGAGACCTGGCATACTGGAAAAACTTCGTAACATTATATGTAATGGCAGAATGTTCAATTACATAAAGGATTTCTTATCGGATAGATTATTCCAAGTGGAAATCAACAATTATCTATCCCCCTCTTTTAGTCAATAAAACGGTGTCCCTCAAGGGCCTACAATATCAGTACACCTATTCCTTGTCGCTATAAACGATATATCTGAGAATATTAAATTTCCAGTGCAATCTACACTGTTCGCAGACCATTTAAATATCCTTTCCAGAGGAAAATACCCAAATTCCATCCAACCAGCTCTACAGTATACAATTGACTCACTATTAGAATGGTCTTCTAAAACCGGTTTCAACTTTTCTGCTATAAAATCTCGCTGCTCACTCTTTACCTGGTTCAGAAAATAAAACAATTTAGAAGTACATTTAAACAACACTCCAATACCATACACTGGATCTAAAACTGAAGCAGGGGTAGGGGTATCAGTATACTTCAACAATACATCAAAAATGATCAAATTTCCTGATTTCTGCTCAATCTACACAGCAGAAGCACATGTGGTCTATCACGCACTTGAAACAATTCAACAACTCAAAATAGATAAAGCGCTCATATTAAGCGACTCTCTTAGTACTATGAACAGCGTCCGCAACATAAACCAACTCAATGCCATATCAAGAATGATTCAAAATCAAATTTCTCTTCTAAATCACAACAATCAAAACGTGACACTGCTATGGATTCCTAGCCATGCCGGAATCCCTGGCAACAAAACGGCAGACACCTACGATAAAATAGCTATAACCTCCACTGAAGCCTCCTTAGTGCAAATTTGTTCTCTGGGTGATATCACAGTGGCAACATCGTTGGACAGCATTACATACAAAATTAAACGAAATCAAACCTTTTATCAACCCTTGGCCAACACTCACTACCAAGAGACGTCATGAAGTCATAATAAACAGACTCAGAATCAGGCATATGTGGCTTACACACAGCTTTCTTATGAGACACAAAGATAATGCCCAATGTATAACCTGCGGGGAAAGTCTAACCGTCAAACATCTAACCTTCTACACTGTCGTAACTATGAGCGTACCAGAACATCTTTAAATATCCCGGATCACCTGTATGAAGTACTTCCATAAAGTTTCTACAAAAAACCAAACCGTATATCCTTATCTAATTATATTGTCTTCTTCTTTTTTTTTACTCTTCCATCACTCTCTACTGTACACACCCTTAAACTTATCATATAGTAATAACCAAAATTGTTTAAACCCTTATAATATAAATATTGTTAGCCAATAACCTTTGTTGTTGAGGCTTTAAATAAAATTAAAATAAAATAAAATGTATACGCTGAAACCACTTGTTTTAATTCTGATATCACAGTCATTATTTCTTATTTTAAATTTTATATTCTTTTTATTCTTTTCAAATACACTTTTGCTGTAGTTCCACAAACTAACCAAAAGAAAACGATAACATTAATATATTATATTATAAAGAGCAAATAATAGTATAAAGAGTAGGTATATTTACATGGCCCAATTATGTTGTAGCTTGTACAAAATACAAGCACGAGATATGAAAGGTTATATTATATTATATATATATATTATAAAGATTATAATAAATAATTTTAAGTCATATTTTTAGAAATCACAAAAATGTATAATCTATATAATAAAAATAAAATTCTGTAAATTGGTAACAATATTTAAATAATATTAAATAAATATTAATAATATTTAAAAAAGGCTGGACTGACTTAGCTCATTTAAAAAAAAAATGCTCGTAAAAGCCCGAATGAGGTAAAAGATAAATCGGAAAGGTTGCACTTAAAAATTGAAAAATGTTGAAGATTTTGGATATTTTTGTATTTAAATTAATTCCTTTGTGATCATTGGTTACATATTATAATGAAGTAATAGTAGCAAATTAGTAATAATTGGTTTTATTTCCTTAATAAATGGTTGCCTCAAGTTACATATTTTAATAATAATTGATGTTGAATATATAATTTTAATTTTTAACTTATAATATATTTTGATATTTGGTCACTTAATTTTTTACCCACGATAGATTATTTGAAGTTATTAGACTCAAAAACTACTGGACCATTTTCAATAAAATTTTATGAGTCTATGAAGTTACAATTTTGACAAAATCATAAAAATTTGCAAATTGTTATGAGTTAGAAATTCATATAAATTTCAATTTTTATAATATCCAAGATTTAAAAATGTAATACAAGATTCCTAATAAATTTTAGATTCTGAGTGGAGTGACAAATGTATTGATCTTACAATGATGTGTATTTTTTTATTTAATTGTGTCTGATGATGGTCTTTTGAGACAGTAAATATGTTTCAATTTTCTTCAACAGCATCTTTTCTGGTAAGTTGGTCCTTTGGGGGTCAAAAGTAAAAAATTCATAATAGTTTTCAAAAGCGTCAGGAAAAACAAACAAAAAAAATCTGAGAAGTTGATGTTAGTGGAAATTATAAAAAAAGTTGAGCGTAAATCCATTATAATTTTTTATGAGCTCCTGAAGTTAACAATTTGACAAACATTTTGACGATGGTTGGAAAATTATTTCGAGTTATAAATTCATAAAATATTTTCTATTTATATCAAAGCTTTGAAAATTTAATATAAGATTTCCCTTAAGTTTTTCCACATTCAACAAAAAAAAGCTTAACGAGAGTAAAATTAATTTTTTGCGATGGTTTGAAGCTAGACATTAGATTAACAAATTAACAAATTCTCATTTAATGGTTTTTTTTATTTTTTCATTATTCAAAAACTAATAACCATAAATACTTGAAATGTATATCAAATGTTCAATATATCATTGTCTATACCTACATTATACCATTTTCAAAATATTTTGACTAGTTTTGAGTTATTTATAGACATTTTCAATTTTAATTTTATAAATGTCAATAAAATTTTATTGGTTGAGTGGTTGGGTCAAAAAACTTGAAAATTTCATACAAGGCTCCTTATAAGTTCATATAATATCAGTTGTTAAATATTAAAGATCTATAGATACAATTTTTTTTTTTTATAGGTATTTAAAATTCAATTTTTGACAACATTTATCAAAATCTTGAAAATTATCAATTATGGAATTAAAAAATTATTAAGTTCAATTTTTATAGCTGAGTTGAAAATTTAAAACAAAAATTCTCTTAAATACTTCATACTGCAACCCAAAAATCTAAAAAATATATAAACTCTTTTATTTTTTACAGACATTTTAAATTAAATTTTTTACATATATAAATTACATATTAAAACCAAGAATAATGATTTTAGTTATTTTGATGTAATTTAAAAATATTAGGGTACTTATATCAAACTTTTAGAGTACCTATAATATTATTATATTTTCTACACACAAATGTCATTTTTTGGCAAAATATTAATTTAAAATACTGTATTAATGCCTATTAGAAAAATGAATTACTATAATCCCAATAATATCATCAAATATTCTTATAATATTATAGGCTGGCAGACTGTCTTCACTTAGAATCGTTTTTCGTACCTATATAATGATTTTATATCATTGCATTCAAATTTAACACCGTCCATTACAGTGACCAACTTGTAACCTACTGTACAGCAGAATGACTTCCACTTACCCGCCTTTTTATTAGTGTAATTTTTAAAAAAAAACATTAAAGCATAAATTCACAATATTTTTTTTTCAGTGTCTGAAGTTAAATGTTGACAAAATTTCGTCAAATACACGGAAATTTTAATATAATTTTAAGTTAGATTTTCTTAAAATTGTTCTTATTATATCTAAGATCTTAAAATGTAATAAAGGTTTCTTATAAGTTATTCTACCTTTAACAAAAAAAGAAAAGTTTACCGAAAAGTCACATTAATATTTTATGAGTTTTTGAAGTTTAAATGTTTGCGACATTGGTTATTCCGTAAATTAACGAAGGTATAGGTTGGCCCCACTAATTTTATAAATATATAATACAATTAAAGTAAACTATGTATTTTTAACCACCAAGAAATTATTTTTAACTCGCCAACATCTGCTCAAAACAAATTTCTATTTAGCAGTGCCACGGTGACGTCACTACAAACCACCATTACAAAGGTTTGACCTGCAAGTAACTGAAACCTAGTGGAAATTGTGTAATATCATTTGTGATACCATTTGTGGACGTGGGTTAGTTACAAATAATTTGTTGGTGGTTATACAAATGTCTACAAATTAAATTACATAATTATTCAATTTACATTAATATTGTATTATATATTGAAAATTGCAAGGATCTGTGGTTATTTTGCATACAATTCCCTATTTTAGATTATGAAGTAGGGCTATGAATGTATTAGAATTAATTGTGTATTATTTTTATTTTTATGTGTAAATTTTTTTCAGTGGTTATTTACCTTTTTTGAATGAGAGAACACTTTATATTTTATAAGATTTTTGCGGAACATAGCAGTAAATAATAACAGTATTTATGTACTTTTTCAAATGTATAATATAATATTATAGATTGAACATTTAAATCAAGGATTCTCATAAATATATTATGCCGTAACCAAAAAATTTAAGGTATAGGTACAGGATGATTCTTTAATTAAACAACACTCATTATTTCAAAAAGTATTGACTTTTTAAAAATTTTAGATTTACACTGCACTAGAATTATATAATTTTTTTTATATTTTACACCATTATATTTATTAGAAAAACCACTAGGTATCAACTTTTGATTTTCAAATGGTAACATAAACTTAAAAATACATAAATTAATAAGGCTATTTTTTTATGAACTATCACATTCAAATTTTCAATTGTCGTTGATCCGTTGAGGAGATATTTCTTCTCAATTTGGGTGGTTTTTGTGTGTAAATGTGTTATACCTCATCAGAGTAGATACTGCAGCTATCAAGATTTGTATGCTACAGGGAAAAAGTTATTACACTTTTCAAATCAATTCAAGTAGGCTTACATTAAGCTAAGTTGGGCCCCCTTAAGGTATTGTATTATACATCAGTTGTACTTGGAGAGTTCAAGTTATGGCAAAGAAAATTAAGTAACATGAGTGACAAGCCAAATAATGCAATTGATACATTGAATATTTGAATATATGCAACAAAGACATGTATCCTGGTATATTCAATTTGCTTCAAATTCTAGCAACACTCCCTGTATTGACTGCATCAAGTGAAAGAACATTTTCGAAATTAAAGTTAATAAAAACGTACTTACATAATACTATTTCTGAATTAAATGTTAATATTTTATTGAGTAAAATATTATTTTTTTATTTGTGTAAGATTTATGTTTTCGTTTTTCTAGAATAGACTTAATGGATTGGCTATAATTTCCATTTATAGAAAAGATTCTCTCTTACCAAAAGACATTTTAGATGAACTTTGTAAAAAAAAAAGACACTTACATTTTGTACCTTAAAATTATAAAATATGATAAAACAACTATTTTTTATTCTTATAATCTATTAAAAACTATTTCTTTATATCAGTACCTATCTATATTATGTTGGAATTATTGCACCCCCAGAAAAAAATTGAAAATACGCCACTGATTGTAAATGAACTACGAAGGTGAATTCAGAATCACTTGGTTTCAAAGTTATGGCCTTTAAAAGTTTATCATCTATCAGGGTAATTGATAACACAATAAGTTATAAAACAATCGACAGTATGATGCAGAGTAATAATCACGATCATAAAATGATTTCTAATTATGGTAATAAACTAATAACTAGGTATTATTATAAGTTATTATTAGTAATTACTTTATTCGCCAGGAGTATTGCGATAAAAGAAGCACTACATGAAAAATGACAACATCAAAGCTGCGAACTTGCTAAAGGTACTGCCGATCTTGTTTTTACTCATCTGCAAGTGCCACGCACCGACTAAATGTGATTATCGTGATAATTGGTAAATAATAAACTTCCAAAGGCTATAACTTCGAAACCGCCAAAATCTGGCTTCCCCATCGTTTTCACTGTTTTCAATATACCAATAACTATAAAAGTTTTTTTTTTAAAGGGTTTATTGTAAAATAATAAAATACCCAAATGTTATTATTTTGTTCAGTCAACTTTGGATCCTTCGTATTACATTTTTTATTTATTATTCTTAACAATTTAACTCGGAATTTCAATAGAAAATTTGGACTCAAAGGATTCAAAATAGACATCATGATATATCCAAATAGGTATGTTTTTAATATTTTTATCAGAGTAAACCTCAAGTCAATACGTTGGAAGTTGGAACACGTATAATTTGTCTATTTTGCTCCAAAATACAGTAGTGTGAAATGCATCAAAATCATTAAAATTTAAAACATTACAACGTCATGACGTACCTATGTATTAGTGACGAAAAGGTGCTGTAGCAATTTACTCTATGACTGAGAGAATTTTTCACTATGACATAATTGTTGTTGTTATTGTATCTAATATTTCATATAATTAAGCTTATTTTTGAACCCGAAAGCATGAAACAGATAAACTGAATAAAAATTATATTAAAAATAATAATACATAAGTAGGTATTAAGTTTAGCTTCTTAAAATTATACCATTCTACTTCATAAAAAAAAAACAAAAATAATTTACTAATAATCAGTAAAAACTAAAAAGTAATATCTGATATAATAAATTATACGTATATTTTTATTTTGCATCAACAACGAGGTTATTATTGGATGACACGTCAAATTTATAACTTATATTATTTTATTTTAAAAATAATTCTAGGGGCCGATTACCTACTGGCGATGTATCATTACTGATTGAAAAATGTATTTCTTACGTTTCCTTTTTCATAACTGTTACTAATTCAAATATATACAACGCATTTATATTTTATAATGTAATTTTATATTTTTCCATGAATAGCGATTGTGTTTCATTTTAAAAGTTAATTTAGAACTAAGTATTTATCATAAATGTATATGAATTATTAGAATATTTTTTATACATAATATAATACGTTAAAAAAATGTTAGTATACATTTATAATGGCTAGTATTTAAAATCTCAATGTGCCTCATTCGATCTTGAACATAAAGCAAAGTACCTATAATACGAGTACAAGGACTTAACATTACGAATACAAATGTTATAAACTTACTGTTTAAAAAATTAAAGGGTTAAAAGTCTAACATTTAATCAATAATATTATTCATAGCCACATAGATACCTACTTATATTTCAGTAATTGTATTTAAATAATTTTATTTATAATATTTCTTAAAAAACGTCTTTAGATAATACTTCAAAGTGCACTTCACCACTATTTATTTTACTTTTGTTCAAATAAGCAAGTCAATAAAAAAATAATAATTTATTTTTTTATTTGCTTTTTATATTATACTGTTTCTAATACCTATTGATAATATTTTACTAAATGCTATATATTGTCTCTCGGTGTAAGTGGATATCATTTCATCGAGACCCTTAGTCGGGATTACACCTGTGCCAACACGGTCCAGACACCCCTGTTAACTTGTCAGCAAATCGATGACGGTGAATTCAGGTTCAAATCTTGGTTTAAGGGCTTGGGCAATTTTATTCGGGTGTAATTCGCTGGTGTGCAAGTCACACCTAGGTGGGTCTGCTGTGGATTAGATACGGTCACTGTCCTCCGGTCACCGGTGCATGTCGTCTATTTTATTGTACAGTCGAATCTCGATAACTCGAAGTTTTTCTTGCCCCTTGAAGTGTTTTTAAGTTGTGCTTGAGATACCTCAGTATATAACTTGAAAAATATGTAAGTCGAACTTATTTTTATTCCCCTTGAGATTCGATAATAAAATCAAAAACTGAGTTTGAGTAATCTATTATAAACATATAGCAAGGACAATTTTGATTTTGATTTTGTAGCTAATATTCTATAAAAGTATCGAGACTTTTATGAAACGTCATTGTTACCTAGTAGGTAGCTAATAAGAATTTGAGTGATACTAGACGTTTTAAACATCAAATTTTCATTTTCACAAGATATTTATTAACTCAATCGATTCGTTCCATTTCACATGGTTCACAATACTTTATTATATGGAGTAACTAATTATGACACTTACTATTAGATACTTTTATAAGTACCTAGGTATGTACAATTTACATTTATTTTTATTATATTTATGAAATCAAAGAACTAATTATTGTTGAGTATTTTTATTTTATATTTTTATTTAAGCAGATTTGGTAATTATCAAAGCTTTACTGAATATGATAAACATATTTTAATATATTTCAAATATGTAAATCACCAACGGCTATTATTCAGCACAATTTATCTATAAACAATGAAAATGATCAACCTTAATGTATACATATTATGTTAGTATTACGCAGGGAGAAAATGATTTGCTTTTGTATTCAAATACGTGCTAGGTATTTCGTTTGCATATTTATACTTATAATTAATTTTTAAACAGAAATATATATTTTGTATATCTATTGAAGTAACATTCTGAAGGATCTTTTTACATGATTGCATTTAATACAAGTCCGTGTACACCAGAGAATACTATAGCTATTAATATAATATAATATTACATGTCTAAGCCGTACGATGAACACAGTATTTTTTTAGAAGCACTATAGTATATATACTTAGTAAATTAAAGATATTGCGCTTCACACAAAAATGTCTGGATATTCGTATATAGGTAATAATTTGTATGGAAATTATTACATTAATTTAAATTTAAAATTTGTAAGACATCTAACAATAAATTATACTCAATGCAAGTGTGTTTAATATTATAATAGTAAAATATAGCATACCTAACTACTATTAATTACCTATATCTATAAATATACGTCAATATTATTACTTGTAGGCTGTAGCTGTGCGAAAGCACCTGCGCTGCACCTTCGCACCTGCTTTGCTGTCTGTAAATATTCAAATTTTGGTTTTTTGTACTAGATAGATATAATAAATTATATGGATTCCTAGGCACTTAAAACCCATATTTTTAGATACCTACTTAGATTGGTACTTAAAAAGTAGGTACCATTTAAGGAGTGTCGTAGCTGCTGCCACATCAATATATTTTTTCGAATGTTAACTTCTATTTTTTACTGTAAATATTTTGATTTTTTTTTTATAAGTTTATGCATAAAAAGGAAAATGTTAACTAGTAGTTTCTGAGCTTTTTAATATTTATAGTTTGTATGCTAATTGCTAAGAATAGTGATAGGTACTACACAAAATTATATTATAAAATATATTTAGCTAATGTTTACAAATTAAGAAAATGTTAAATAATAATATATAAATATTAATTATTGTAAATATCAAACAATCATAGTCCCGTTTTATCTTTTAAGACCTCTGACCTATATAGCTAATATACCTATTAGCATTGATTATTTTTAATTTTTAGAATATAGGTAATGATTAATTTAGAATGTAAGTTCAACAAAATTCATCCAACGGTTAAATAGGTGTTTAACATTTAGAAAAAATATAATATCCATCGTAAAAATGTAAGATAATTATCACTTATTTGAAAATATATGGTGTTTGAGTGACACTTGTTATTAAAAAAAAAAACAAAATTTAAAAAAAATATCCGATGTAATCTTTATATTTTTTTTTTAATCACAATAATATGTATTCCTTAAACTTTTAATTTTCTTAATTAATTTTTGGAGTAATTCGATACATTCAAATCAAATTTTGGTAGGATAGTGTATGCGAGTTACAACTTATAAGTACATATTTAAAGTTTTAATGAGTAGAATAGAGTTGTAGGTGAGGTGAACTTTACGTATAGAGCTTCGGAATATGAAATTAAAAATATATGTTGTCATTTAAAACGATGGCGATATAAAATAGTAAAAATAATTGTAATATATTATATATCTACCTTCTACATTAATAAAAACATAAAATGATTTGGAACCAATAACGATTATACACTGGTGTATAAAAATTAAAAACGTAATTTAAAATTATAAAATAAATTATTTACATAACTTAATATCAAAATTAATATACAAAACTTAAATCAATAAGAATTCAGACCACCCAGAAGTAATGCGATTGCATCATACCATAGAATCTCACAGCCAATTCAAAAGACAAAACCCAAAAATAATAACCGCATACGGACGCAGATTACCAGAACGCAAACTATAAAGACCATAACTATTCATATGCACTTCAATCAACACAATTATGCCCACGTATCGAAACATACAATACTATCAGACTAAGAAAATTATTAAATCCGTCAAAATCAAATATACAAAGAACAACGATTATGGTACCGGGCATTCGGCGAAACACCGAATAATGAAATCAGCAGCCATATCTCCAATAACAGAGTAAAAAACTGATTACACTATACACCCACATCACCGCGAATATCAAAGAAATAATACAGATATGCACAACATTACACAATCGTCTACAACAACAAGACCATTAAAGTAACTGCACATTAAAAATTAAGCATCTAGCCAGCATCCGGTATTCCATACAAGACGCAACACGGATACCAACAGTAAAAAGAAGCAATCGATTCAAAACTTAAAATGCTAACTTATGAACTTACTTAATTACAACTACCCTACACGTCACATTTCTCGCCGTACAAGAATTCATACCGAATCTAACAATCTTATGCCAACCAATGAATCGTCAGAAGTAAACACTCATCAATAAACAAACCATCAAGAATAAAAGTTATACATCCATCAGAATAAATGACAAGCACAAACAATGTGTGCTTGCCTCAACAATGATATACAATAACAATCATTCAGCAATAGGCAAGTTTCATTACGATCACGGAAGACGCATACCAATGCCTAATACACAGGACCAGGCGGCCAGCACGCTGAACGCCGCGCACCAGTAATCTAATCCCGTTATATATAAACGCTCTACACGTCCAGTCCATCTCGAGCAAAGTCCATCTCGATCCCAGTCCATCTCAAGCAAAGTCCATCTCAAGCAAAGTCCATCTCAAGCCCAGTCCATCTCGAGACCAGTCCATGTCCACAATCAGGGCAGAGTGTACCTCTGCGGACACTATGCTTCTGCACAACAGAGCTCCATCAGAACCGGACCAGCACGCAAGACCGACGCCATCCAACTTCGAAGACACACACAAATTATCTCTCTATCTTTTTCAAACAAATAACTTTCTGTCGTTCATTTTTCAAAGTCAAATTTAAATATTACATTTATTCAAATACACCAGGTATGGTCTTATTGGTTCTAAATTCTTGTTTTATGACTGTATAAACAAAACAAATCATCTTTTTCTACCATTCGCATTCCCACTACACCAAATATTCTTATAATATACACGATATTCATTTCCAACTCATCCTCTAATAATAATAATTCAAAGTTAAACACAACCTGAGTGTTACGCTTATAGTGTAATTAGAATACAATATTAATGGGATTTAAGGGTTCGCTACTATTCGAAAGAGTACGCAATTGGACACATTCTTTGAAATATTGGTATTTTAAATACATTACAAGAATAATAACTTGTTAAATAAAACTCCTGAGTATTGAACTTATAATATAGGTAATTACAATACAACGTTAATAGGATTTAAGGGTATACTCGACAAATATCCTAAAATCGCATCCACAACCAACAAATATTATATTATGATGCGTGTTCATTACGAACAAGTATTTAAATATCGTGTAGGTATATCAAATAAGCACTGGTCTCTACAAACAACACTGAGGAGTTGGAAAAAAAGAGAATCAGTAAACTATAATAAAATACAAACGATAGTACAACAAAATAAATAACAAAGTGAACCATACTTGGTTATAGTTAATATATTGCAATAATAGGTGCACATCGAAACACGGTCAACAAAAGAACATCAACGACACCCCGATCGAGAATTAAGTAGCCACTGCAATCAAGGTGACACCATATTCATAATTATCTATTTCGAAACGTAGCCGCACACCCCTTCATTAATTATAACCATATCTAGTGGTGGAATAAAATCATTTACAAATATACGCCAATTATATCTTCATTCCAACATTTCAATATACTACCCACCGTATTATCTTTATTTTTATAGTTGATTTTATTCTACCACATAATTTTTTTCAAATAACGATATTTTGTAATGACGTAAAATGATATTATAATATTTATAACAGAAATATTTTCAAAAACTTTATTGTTTTTTGAAAGTATGAGTGTCTTGAGTTAAATCCATCAGCGTGTATATTATATCATAATATTACACTGCAGATATCACACAGATATACCTACAGATATCAGTAGGTATGTACAACTTACATTCTCAATTGAATATTATTATTAGGTTTTCATAAAAAAAGTCAAGTTCTTTAATTATAAAAAGAAATTGTTTATTTAAAATTTTAGTTTTTGGCCAATGTCAAACCAAAGTAATTTTATTATTTTTTCTGGAAAGCCAATTCAAACTAAGACTTACATATTTATACTTAAAAATAAAACGAGAGTCACACAATGAAATAAAAACATATGTAATTAAGTAGGTAACAGATGTTTTAGAGTTCCAACATATAATTTAAGATTTGAATGTACATTTTAAAAATTGGCCAATTTAATATTTTAAATTCCTAAACATTGTCAACATATGACATTGGCCCTTCTTGCACCAAGCCACAGAAATATTTCCAAAGCAGCTGCTGTACTTGGGAAAAACGTACAGTTACAGTTTACCAATTTTCTGTTTCAGCATACATTCTATCAAGACTCTCAAAAAAAAATTTTTTCTTCAATTTTTTTTAACTGTCTGGTGAAGGTTTTTAGTAAAAATAAATTATTATGTTCTCATTCAAAACGTGCTTATATTAATAGTTAAATTGAATCAATATATGGTATAAAAACTGATACTCGGTAAAAACTTTCAGTTTCATATTGTAATACATAAATCAAAATGTTTGTATAGAAAATAATAATATTTAAATTTGTTACCGAATGCGGGTTACACTCACTAATGGTAATTTACTGGTTATTACTTACAACTTACTAGTTACTACTCACACATTGGCACAGCCCAAAAGTACATGTCATTTGAATTGCCTAACTATTGTTCTTTAAAACATTCAACGCTCCAGCTTGGAGGTATCTTCGTGAGAAAAGTGTAATAAATCAGCTGCAGAGTTATTATTTTATTGAGGTTGATAACAAAAAAACGGTACCTATACAGAGTGTAACACAAAGACGTCATGAAAAATGAAAAATTGATAGGTACTAGCATTATACTAGCAAATACTAGTATTTATGATCAATAGTACTAGTTATACGTATGAACAAATTATGAACATTATATATGGATGATAAATAATTCAAGGTTTACTTATGTCTAAATATTCCCCAAAAGAATGTTTTAAAAAGCTTTTGTGAAATTTTGAATTAATTTATTAAAAAAAAAATATTGATATTTTAAACAATTGTAAAAAATTAACTACTAGATTAAAATAAAGTTTAACGATGAAAACTATAAAAAATTTTAAAAATTAGATTTACAAATTAGCTGTTTTAAATGTTTCCAAAAAAATGTGATTGTAAATAAAATGTTTATTTACAGTATTAAAAAATTTGGGTAAGTGGATTTCACTCTGCTGTACAATATGTTACAAGTGGATCGCTGTATAATGGATGGTATTAAATTTGAACTCAATGACATATCTTCATTTTTGAATCTTTTAATATGAATACACAAACAGATGTGATATATACTGATTTTAAGAAAGCTTTTGATCGAATTGATCATAACTTATTAATATCTAAATTAAATCATTATGGTATAAAAAAATCCTCTATTATCATGGTTTTCTTCATTTTTAACGGAAAGATTTCAAATTGTAAAATATAATGAGTTTTTTTCAAATCCGATTTCTATAACATCCGGGGTTCCACAAGGAGACCACATTTCTCCGCTGTTATTTCTATTATACATAAATGATATTTCTTCTTCACTAAAACATACAAATATTCTACTTTTTGCTGATGACGCGAAATTATATAAAACTATTTACTCCGTTTCTGATGCCTTGAAGTTACAATCAGATTTAGACGCATTTTGCGATTGGTGCACAAATAACGGCATGGAACTAAATATAAATAAATGTTCAATTATCTCATTCTCTCAAAAAAAAACCATTCTTGATTTTAATTACAATTTTATAAACCTTGAAATTAAACGTGTATATTTAATAAATGATTTAGGTGTATTTTTCGACACAAAAATGAATTTTAAACAACATATCAATAAAATAAAAAATAAAGCATCTTCTAAGTTAGGATTCTTAAAACGACAATGTTCAAATTTTAACAATCATTTCGCATTAAAAAACATTTATTTTTCTATTGTACGTTCTCAACTAGAATATGCTGCTTTCATTTGGTCTCCTAATTCCTTAATTCTAAATCAAACTCTTGATTCCGTTCAAAATTCTTTTTTACGCTTTTTATCCTTCAAATATAATGTAGAACGCCTTTCACATTCAGGTTATGAGGGAGTATCTAGTTTTTTCAACATACCTACTTTGAGAAATCGTAGAAAATATCTAGCTTACATTTTTCTTTTTAATTTATTAAATAACAAAATTGAATGCCAAGAAATACTAGAAAGATTAAATTTTAAGAGGACGTTATACCGCTTATTTTCAACGGTAAAAACATGTCCACGAAAAACAGTCATAACTTCACTAAAAAGTGGTTTTAGAGTTAAAATACCTATAATAAAATGTATAGAGAACAATATTTCCAAGAAAATGTCATATCCGTTTTATATAAAAGTAATTAGTAAAAAAGATACAGCTAATTAAAAAACGTAAAATATGTATATTTTGAATTTTAATTTGTAAGTTATATACTAGCAATATTAAAAAACGCATATGATATTTTCTCCAAAATATTGTTTTCTTTCGATTTTATTATAGGTGTTTTTTCTCTAAAACTACTTTAAAGCGAGCAATTGCAATTTTCCGTAGTTATGTTTTAGTTGTGAATTTGTGATATGTTTAATTTATCATGCCGTATTGTGCTGCTTCTAGTGGATAGTTATATAAATAAAATTTCCAATTGCCTGTAAATGATGGGAGGGAGGTAGCGTGTGCCGACCGCCGCTGTCGTCGTCGTTGTTATCTGCAATTCTGTGAATAGTAGTAAATAGTAATAGCTAATAACCATGATTACTACATTATACGCCTAATTATTATTATTCGTCCAGTACTTATTCGTATGACTAAAATAAATTAAGATGATTATTATTATGATTATAATATTATTGTAGTCATTCTGAGTTCTGATGTGACTCGTGGCAGTATGTACAAATAATTTACAGGTCTAGATTATTGTATTTTATTTCCACTTGTGTTGTTTATAATAGTCATTTAAAAATATGGCAAATAAAAACAACAAAACAAAACGTCCGCGTAGGAAATATATTACTAAAAACCTTATTTTGAAGCGTTATAATAAAAACAAAAGATAAGTTTTTACAAGATTATTACATTTTTTTGATATGGAATGGTTAAAATAGTTAAATATTATAACACAGTTTATAATTTATATTATTGAACTCAAATCAACTTTGGAGAAAATGCTGTTCAGCTACTACGAGATTTTTAAATTTTTTTTTCGAAACTCATGTAAAATGACGATTTAAAAACAATGGTGCCAAAAAAAATCCCGCAAATATTAGTAGTTCGTTATAAATTATGACGATTATTACGCATTTATCACGACATTTATTGTATAATTATAATTATCAACATAGTTTATTTATTCATTATTGGTATAATAGGTACCTAACTACCTAAGTATTATAATGTGTACCTACTTCAGTGGCGGCGTGATAGGGTGTTTCATGAGGCAATTGCCTCACGACCAATTAGGTGGTGGTACCCCCCCGGGTACGGATATTAAAAACCACATATGAAATATGGTCAAGGGGACGGAGTGGCCGAGTGGTCTAAGGAGTCGGTCGCGACGCAGCCGGTGCCAGCTCGATTCCTTGGTCGCGGGCGGCAATTTTCTTTGGGCAAGTCACGGAGAATAAGTGCCGCCATCTCACACCCGGGCATGACAAATACCTACAGGTGCCCCAAATATTTTACCTATAGTAACAAAAATCTCATTTTTACGAAAAATGGAGTTATCCTGTTTTCGCTTAGCACGGCATTACAGTACCCTCCCCTACAGTACCACAGGCCATTGGCGTCCGCAGGGGGGGGGCTAAAGGGCTGAAGCCCCCCCCATTGACCGTATTATTGTTACTTTTTCAAAAAAATATTAATCAAGTTAGACTGTCAACTATAGTAAGCAAGAAGTAAATTTAATATATGTCTTACCAGAATGAATTCATTTTTGAAAGAACATTGTATTTGCATACCAATTTTCATAAATTATCTGTAATTTTTAGGTAAAAGTATATGAACTACTTATATGAAAGACCTTGTATTAAATTGTCTAGCCTTAGCTATATATATTTTATATTTTATAAGTTTTGAACTACAAATTAATTGTCTGCTTATAAAAAATAACCATATTGCCTATGCAGTGTTTGAAGTATGAAATATTTCACAAAAAAGTGACACATTGAAATTTATTTACACAAATAAAATCACAATTTATTTATTTTTTTAACACAATGTTCAGTGTTCTAAATTCTAATGACAGAATTCAGTATTTATACAATATACATGTATAATATTGTATACCTACTTGTATTATTTTAACATTAAAATATTGAAAAATTTTGAATACCATTTTAAATGTATAATACCAAAGGTTGGGTATACATACAGGTACCATATAGTTATGAAGGTAATTTATGACAATTATATGTAAATATAAAACTTATTTAAAAATAAAACAAAATATATCATAATACTGAAATATTTAATTTTTTTAAATTTCATGAAATTTTCGAACACTATGGCTATGCATCGTTAATATTTTAGCTATAATAAAATAACTTACGTATTAATGTATTATATTTTTAAGCTTTTTGACCGGATAAATAATATTTTATTGACATTTATAGAAAACAAAAATTTAATTATTCAAATACAATCCAACTGAAGACGGTATAACCAAACATTTAAATAAATTTTCATTTTTTTTCTCAAATTATTTTTAAAAGCACTGAGCATTTTCAATTTCAACCTCCTAATAGTACCAACTAGATCCAATTTGCTTCCAAAAACATACACTGAGCATCGGAGCTTATGATCAGAGCATTTTTTCTACCAGAAAAGTTGAAAAGTTACAAACATTTTAAAATACCTCAAATAAACGTCTGAAATTATTAGACTGGACAAAATGAAAAGAAAATTGTAACTAATTTTCAAGCCCCTCCCATTGAAAAATCCTGCGGACGCCACTGTGATCGACGAAGTATTGCAATTTGCAAAGTGGTTTGATGAAAGAAATGACAACTGCATTTAGACGTGTTGCTGATAATGCAAAAAGTTTATAACTTGATGTTGATAAATGATAACAACATCTGCGAACAGTTTAATAGTGCATTAATAAGCACATAGGCGGATGGTATTAAACAAAAATAGGTACCTATAATAAATTCCAAATTAATCATATCACAATATCCATTAGGTACTTACAACGCGTTATAAAAACCGTGATACTATCATAGATATATAATAATACACTTTTGAAGTTTCAAGTACCCACGAATAATATTATTCAATCACAACAAAAAAACTAAAATAGTTATTCTAGGTTTTTTAATATGTAATTTCGTCCATATTTATATTTCAAATGTCTGTAAAAAATAACTGTGTACATATATTTTTTGGTTACAGTATGAACTATTTATGAGAATCTTTGTTTTAAATTTTCAATCCTTAGCTATAAAAACTGAACATTTTATAATTTATTAATTAGAATGATTGAAAATTTTCGAGATTTTGATAAATTTTGTCAAAATTAGATCTTTAAATGCTTATAAAAAAAAATTGTGCTTATGTATTTTTATATTTTTCAATTTCTATTGTAACAATATATCAGAAGCCTTGTATTAAATTTTTACAATTTTTGGCCCAACAGATAAAACTTTATTAATATTTATAGAAAAAAAAAACTAAAAAAATTGAAAACTTAAAATGTCCGTAAATAGCTCAAAAAGAGTCAAAATATTTTCAAAATTGTATGGTGTATAGGAAATGCTAATATAAATATTCAGGGAAATTTTCATGTATCTACAGTTATTCGTTTTTGAATCACAACAAAATAAGGAAATCGCTACATGAGAAATCGAGTGAATATCCAATGTTGTAAAAATTTGAATTTCAAACGCTCATAAAAATTTAATTTGACTTTCCGTAGAGATTTTTTTATTGATAAAGGTAGACAAACTTATGAGTAAACTTGTATTACATTTTCAAATCTTAGATTTAAAAAGAAAAATTTTTACGAATTCTTAACTCAAAATAATTTGCTAATTTTCGTGATTTGTCAATTTTTGAACTTTAAATGCTTATAAAAAAAAACTGTGACTAACGAATTTTAATATTTTTCATCTGCCTTTGAAACAATATAGTAGGAACCTTGTATTAAATTTTCAAGTATTTCTACTCAACAAATAAAATTTTATTGATATTTCTAGAAAAAAAACTAAAAAAAATGAAAAATGAAAATGTCCCTAAACTGTTCAAAATAAATCAAAATATTTTGAAAATGTTATCGTGTATAGAAGATGCAAATATAAACAACCAGTGAAAATTTCATGTATCTAATTTCATTTTTTTTAAAGTTACACCAAAAACTAAATTCAATTTTGTGAAAAATCGATTTTGCGTAAAAATTCCCGTTTTTCCTATATTTTATGTTGTTTTTCCCGGTGCTTTTGAAAATTACTGAGCATTTTAAATTTTGACCTCCCAATGCACCAACGATATTCACTTTCCAATCGAACAAGATACTGAAGTTGAAAATCGAAGCATTATTTCTACTACTTATCGTGTACACAGACACAAAAAAAAAAGAAAAAAGAAAAAAACTAATATTAATTTTTTTCATGGTTAAATAATAGGAAATTGTTGCTCGTTACCCTTTTATTATATTAATATATTTAATATGATTATAATTTCTTTTTTAAATATAAATGTGGTGATAAATAATATAGGTCACATACTAAATCTATTGATTGATTTTATGCATTTGATAAACTGTAATTCATTGGATTGTGTAATACTTATAATATAGTAGTTTGTATAGTAGGTAATTTTAAACTAACTGTTACTTATAGAAATAATTTTTTAATAAATTTATGTTACAATTTGTTATCATTATATATTACAACTATACATTTTAAATTAGTTATTTTCTCAGTCAATGTACCCGATCTCTAAAAATTACAGAATGATAAATAAAGATTTTAGAGTATTATTATTATCATTACGAGTAGATTACCTATACGGCTATACTTATTATATTACTATATTAGGTATACGTTAGGTATACCTACTACAACATATTATTAATTTAAATAAATATTTGTAATTACTTATTTTCATATTTTAATATAACATTAACAGTTGAACTTAAAAAATAATACACGGTAAATTAATATTAATTTAATTGCGCTGTATTTATTTTATTTACCATTTATTAGATTTTACTTTAAGTATTATATTTAAATAAGTAATAATTCAATAACTTCAAATCAAGCTATGTTATAATCAGGGCTTCAAAACGTTATTATAACGTTATAATTTATAACGCTATAACGGAAAAAAAATGAAAAAACATAAACGAAATCAATAAACGAAAAACGAAAAAAATCGAATAACATTAAACATAATATATCATTAATCATAATTCATGATTAAAAATAAACAATAAACGTATTTGTAACGTAAAAAAATTGCAAATAACGTTATTTTAAATAACGTTTGTGATTTTTTTTTTACATTGAGCCCAATATAATTTTTTTTTTTTTTAATCTTATAGTTATGAACAATTCAAAGTTGGCTAACCTGTGTTGACAATAATTTATATTTTCCGAATTATTTTATCGCAGGTTTATTTATAAATATTGAATGCGGGCGTGTTATTTGGAGTACCTATAATAAATAATTTGATATAATTTCAAGTTGCTATTGTTGTTTAGTTAGTTGTAGATTTGTCGTCAAATTATATACATACTACCTTTCGTCGAATCGTCTATGGTGTATACCTACTTAATAGTTAATAGTTTATTTTAACCAACAATATTTCATTTAGAATTGGCCAATAATCAATATTGAATATATTATTTCATAGTAGGTAAGTACCTATATTACACACTTCATTATTTAGTTTTACTTTTCATTGTTTTTTAAATAAAATCATGATTATTATCTACTTTTCTTAGGTAACGTACTACGAAAACGATTTAAGAAATAATTATTGATCATTATTCATTAAATATGGGTAGGAAAATTACAAATCCCGTCCTACGCATGTATTTTGTGTACAATGTGTCAACTAATACAAGCACTTGCACAATTTTGGATTGTCCACATCCTGTACGCAGTGGATGTCATGCAGGGAATTTGGAAAATCATGTCAAGGCATTCCACCAAAATGAATATAAAGAACTTTTAAAAGAAAAGTCAAAAGTATCATCATCCTGTCATAATGAATATGAACCTTCATCGAGCATTGTAAAGGTTAGTCATTATTGTCAATTATTACATCATAGTTTACTTATGTGGCGATGAAATGTTTAGGTAGGTATATAATATATCATATTATGTTCCCTATAGGTATAATATTAGGTAATATTATAATTTAAATTAAATTGGATAGTCTTTATAGATTATATTATATCATTAAGAATAATTTAGATACCTAGGCACCTAATTTATATTTTACATAATTTCTTGAAATTGATTTGTATTACCTATACATATGCCTATTTAAAAAAATTAATTAGTATTATTGTTGCGTTAATAGAAGCAAAAATATGGACCATTGGACAAAATGATTTGTGTAACTAAAACAACACTAACAAATGTTAAATTAAATAAAAAGAATATCATTGAAGCTTGTGTTCAGCTAGTTACAACAAATGGAAGGCCTTTTACACTTTTAAACGATACTGGCTTCAGAATGATAATGGATCCAATCATGAACTCTATCGGTGGTGGTATGTATATAATATTAAAATGTATACTTTATATTTAGCCATTTAGGTAGTTATATTAGTATAGGTTGTAAAAGTACTAAGAACTCAATCATATGCAGCCCTTTTAAAAAAAGAAAATATGAATTTATGTATTCTTGACATAGTTACAAGGTGGAATTCTACATATCTTATGTTATTACGTTTAATTGAGCTTAAGCCTTTTTGTACGGACCACCAACTAATTAATACAGATTTATTTTTAAATACACGAGATTGGGATCGTATTGATAATTTGGTAATCAAAGCAAAAATTATGAATTCATACTACTAACTCACTTATACATGTCGATTGTCGGTATCTAATTTTAATATGGTTTTTTCTAATACTGTTGTTTGCTTAGGTAAAATCCCTTCAACCAGCATTTTTGTGTACTAAATTGTTACAAAAAAAAGATTTAACACTGGGGGATTTCTATGGAATTTGGATTCAAACACAAAATAAATTAAATCTAATCAATACGTCCATTTCAAAATCAGTTTTGCATTTTATGAAGATTCGCCAAGACAAATTATTAGAAAATGATGTTTTTATTGCAAGTGAGTAGTAAGTTGCTACTAGCAAGTAGCAACTTAATATATTTATAATTTATAAGTGATTGATAAGTTTACTAGAACTATTACCTTGTAAAGTAATACATAGTAAACTATTATGATTTATAAATTTATAATTTAAAAATTTAAAATATAAAGAAAATTGCTTAATAATTAATTATTTTGCAGCCATTTATTTAGATCCTCGTTATTTGTGCCTACTAAATGCTGCTACTAAAAAAAAAGCTGTTAGTCATCTGCTTACAACATGGTCACTGAAAGAGTCCCTTTCGTTAACGGCAATAGCAATAGAGGTTAGTAAGAAATAAAAATGTATGATAATTTTTATCTTTTAATTGAAACTAAATAATGTTAAAATGCAATAAATTAACTGAATTTAGACAGTTATGAAAATACATTGGATGTATATTCAATATTCATTTTAATTCAAAGTAGCTCATAGAAATCTTAGTAAATGGTTTGCATAATTACTTTGTTCAAATTTAGCTTCAACAAGTTAAATTAATAAACTGTAACAATAAATATAATATTATTTTAGAATGCAATTTCAACTTAGAAATATTTGATTTCAGAATTCAAATAAGGAATTGGTTGAGCCAGCAGCCCTAGATGACGATTCTAATTCTTTAGAAAAAGAAACAAGTGTCATCACAGATGATTTTGAAGAGTTTATAAGAACAACTTCACAACCTATATCTACAGCTAATAGCATTAACCTCAATAATTCAATTAATGATATAAAAAAAAAAATTGAAGATTTTGCAAATACTGATAGAGTTCATTATAAGGAAAATGTGGTTCAGTATTGGTTGGCAAAGAAAAATGAAATGCCTCAGTTATTTGAGCTTGCAGAAATTGTTATGGCTGTACCAGCTACTCAGGTAAATTGTTCTTGTGCTTTTAAAGTTTTAAATGAATGTAGGTACTATGTAGTAAGTATTAATTGAGTGAAATGGTCATATATTATATAATAAGCATTAAACACCATTGTTTTTTTTTTTAAATTACTTATATTAATGTTAATTAATTAATCACTTTAGGTGAGTGTGGAACGCAGTTTCTCAGGACTTAAGTTCATTTTGTCAGACTTAAGATCTTCATTATCCAGTCAAATGTTGGAAAACATCTTGATAATACGAGGAAATAGCTTATAATTTATAAATGTATATTATAATTTATTTATTATTTAAATATAAGTCTGTTTAAATAATTGCTATGGAATATAAAAATTTATAAAATACACTAAACATTATATTGTTATTTATAAACATCAATAATTATAATTTATAGATGCAAATTACAACTTCATTACATCTATAAAATATTAGTTGTAAATTACAACTATTTAGTATTTTTTATTATTACATTTTTGAGCTAAAAAGTTTAGTACCTACCCTATTGCAAATAGCAACACTAATTGGTAATTTATTATATTAATGAGTAATGACGTATAATTTATATTGAACATTGCAAATGTCTAAGCTGCTATTTAGGTTAACTAAATACTACTTTGTATACACACTTCAAGCAGTCAAGGGAGTAATATAATTAGAACTTATTAAACACATTTTCTACCTAATTCATGCCATTTTATCTTTGTTTCTATTGCTCAGAGACCAGAGTATTAGACAAAAAATTGAATAATTTATAATAGGTATTTAAATTTTTTGTAAGTAATAAATATTACTTTATAGCTTGCTTAAGTTACCAACACCTAAATTAACACTATTTGATCAGTTAGCTCCTTGCTAAAAACTCTAGGAAGATTGAAAATGAGTAATGTATTATGTAACCTGGCCAACAAATTCTACTAATTTCATATTTCTTAAATAACAGTGTGGATAATTATGGCACAAATAACAGTAGAATTTATTATAAAACAAAAAACAATTCCCTATTTGTTTTTAAATTATAACGTTTAATAAAAACGAAAAATTAAAATAACGTTTAAAAATTGAATAACGTTAAACGGAAAAAAACAAATAACGTTTCAATGTACAATAACGTTAAACATTAAAACTGTGTAACGTTTCAAAGTACAACAACGTTAAACATTAAAATTGTATAACGTTTCAAAGTACAATAACGTTAAACATTAAAATTGTATAACGTTTAAATACCCATAAACGGAAAAACGATATTTTTTTTTAGAATTTAAGCCCTGGTTATAATACAGTTTCTACGATCTATATGTTGGGACATAAATTTAAGTAAACAGTATCTTAAAATAATTTATAATCTGTAGTTCGTAGGTACGCGAGGGTATTGAAAATATTACGGCGGCATTTGCGTATAATGAATTATATAATGATACGAATGGTACTGGACGAACGTTCATAGACAAATAAACGGCGCTCCCGAAGTCCCGAACGAGCACTCGTCGCCGCCGTCGGCCGGTTGCGAATAGTAGGCGTGACTTAAACGCCGCGCGCTTGATGGATCGTGAAAACACCTAACAGCGCATCCTCTCGGTCGTTGCATGCGTACAGCTTTGGGTGACACGTCCTCGCAAAAATTATTTTAACTAGAAATAACGATTTATTCACTTTGAAAATTATACGAACCAATTATTCTTTTTCCTCCCCAATAAATTCACTGATGTCTATTGCAAATTCAGTTAATTTAGATTTGTTTTTTTGTAATATAAATAGTATTAAATCAGCATTTAATGTTTGATTATTTAAAATGTATTTTTTGTTTTGTTTCAATGTTTTTAATTGTTCACTGTTAATTCAGTCTAAATGTAATTATATTTAATATATTGTAAACTATACTTGTACTATATCTAGGTTTAAATAATATGTAATCACTAAACTAAATATTCATCATATGTTTTGTTACACTGTACACTATATATTAATATTGTAAATGGATTTATTCCGTAAATAAATAAATAAATAAATAAATAAATAAAACACGAAAAACAATTTTGAGCGGAGACGGTTTGTCAGTCAGGGTATTTTACATTATATTTATATTTGTATTATTATTATAATATGTTAAACGGTAAGTTGAATTAATATTATAAAATTATAACAAAATAACTAAAATCGTTATTCTTGGTTATTTAATATGTAATTTCCACCAAATTTCAACATAAAATAACTATGAAAAAAACATTTTTATATTTTTAAAATTATTTGGTTACAGTATACCGACTTAAGTTGAACCTTGTTGTAAGTTTTCAATCCTTAGCCATAAAAGTTGAACATTTTATACATTTTTGAACTACAAAATCATTTTTTAATTTTAAATTTGATAAATGTTGTCAAAATTCGAACTTTAAATGCTTATAAAAAAAAATTGTGCATATTATGTATTCTTAATATTTTACATCTGTCTTTGAAACAATTTACTAGGAGCCCTTTATTAAATTTTCAAACTTTTTTACCCAACAAATAGCATTTTTTTGAAATATTTTATAGAATAAAAACCTAAAAAATTGGAAACTGAAAATATCTGTACACAGCTCAAAATATTTCGAAAATGTTTTGGTGTATAGAAAATTCTAATATAAAAGTTCAGTCAACATTTCATGTAAGGTAATTTGTTTTAGAGTTACACCAAAGAACCAGTAAAAATTCCTGTTTTTTCTTAATTTTTCTTTTTTTTCTACTGCCCTTTTGAAAAATACAGGAAAATTTTTACTTTACCCCCCCCCCCCCCCCCCAAGTACCAACTAGATTAATTTTCCTATCAGAAAATACACTGTTGAAGAAAATCTAACACTTTTACTGTGCTTAAATATATCACCTAAAAGGTGATGACACAAAAAAAACACATCATTGTAAAATCAATACATTCATCGCTTCGCTCAGAATCTAAAATAAAAATGAATAAAATACATGTATTCAGTACTTGTAACACAATCATTTTTTTTCTTTTTAACCAGAAGGTTGGTTTACATCTCTCATTCTCCTATCTGAGCTGTTTCTCGCCTTTTCTTTAAGCTCCTTATAAGTATTGACTCTTCCATCACATTTAATTTGTTCTATATAAGAGTTTCAAATATGTCCTGCAATTCTCTTTCCTTCAATCATACCCTCTAATATTATGTACGTTTTTTACCCACAGTTCTAAGTACCTCCTCGTTTGTTCTTCTCTCTATCCAACTTATCCTTTCCATACGCCTCTAGCACCACATATCAAAGGCTTCTAGTTTTTTTCTTTTTGGCATCAAATAACCCATGTTTCACATCCATATGTTGCGACACTCCATACATATGTTTAATAAGTTTCTTTTTAATATTGAGCTGCAACTTTTGAAGTGAGCAATTTACGCTTTTTACTTAAAGCAATCTTTGCTAATGTTATATGTTATTTTAGCTCTCGGGTTCTCTTACCATCAGTTATGATTTTCTCAATAGGTATACTAGGAATTTTTCCTCTACTTGTTCTAGTGTTTGCTTATCTATGACGATACACCAGCTTTTATTTTCTGGTCTCTAGGGCAGACTTAGATCTTCGTTTATGCACAATTTATTCTCATATCTCTGATCTTCTGAGAATTTCATTCATTTCATCTATTGCACGCTGTATGTAATTATATAAAAAAATAATACATGTTATTAAATGATATAAAAAAATATTTAAATATTGATTAGAACGAAAGTAATTTTTTTTGTCAGGTCATTCTGTCACACGCCTTGTATAATGTATGAACTATATTTTGAGGTAAGCAGGTACATAATATAGGTTTTTCACATATATATTTAAATATTTATAAAAATGCATTATTATCTACTAAAATTAAACCGTCGTAGAGATTAGAGATACCGATACCAGCTAATGGGTGTCATCGGCTACTATAAGTATGATATTATACAGTTGACGAATTTATAATGACTGTATAGAATATTATGTTAAATATAGACGATTATCGTCGTAACGTAAGTAGGCACCAGCTATCTCAAAAAGTCGACTCGACGTGACTCGCGCAAAAATGAGAAAGAAATCCGATTTAGCTATGGTGTAATATTATAATATAATACCTATAATATAATTATATTATGTCAAGCATGTGTGATGTGTCAGACATGTATAGTAACACGGACTGCACGCGGCTGCTGGATGACGACGGGACCGCGACGCCCGATATTCGAAAGCGTGTAAAAACCCGCTGACGCTGATCGATCACCTCGACGATCGGCCAGTGATTTCGGAGCGTGCATCGTTTTTCATTATTATGTCACATAATAATAATATTACCTGCCTGCCACTATAGAGTATACGCTTATACGCAATCTATTTTTCTACCAAAAAATGTCACTCGAAAATCTTGTTACGTCACGTTCACGCGCGAGTAAGTTACAACAGGTGGTGTTACCGTGGTTTAAAAATCCACTTCCCATAATATTGTTATTATTATGTAGTGATTGTTGTGATCGATCTACGGGAACGCTTTTTTATTTTCCTGTTATATTATTATTATTATTATTATTATTATAAACTATAATGCAGCTAATACTAATTCATCAATGTGATTAAACCACATAATATAGGTAATGTACAATTTTCAGTTGACAAAACTATACATCGGTACCTACAAACTACATACCTAGGTGTTTCAATATTTTTATAATTAGGTACATCATGTATGTAATACGTATGTTAATGAACTAAGTCATTGTTACTGACTTAATGGCTTTTAAAATTAAAATTAAAAACTTATTTTTTAATTAAAATTTTTTTTCATATTTATCATTTGGCCTATAATACTAAAATTGTCTTGTTTTGCTTATGACTTCATTATGATACATATTATTATTATTACAAAATTAATAAACAAATAATTTAAAGTTAAATTTTCAAGTAAAATAGATATTTTATACTCGTAAATAAGAGTTGGAAATAGTTATTTTTGCAAGTTTTTTTTTGGTAACCCACGATTCCGCACAATATACCTTTTTATCTACCGCAAAACATAATTTATGGAATATCATTAAACGAAAAATAACGGAAGACAAAACATTTTAAAATCTATTTATTTAAAAGGTACCTTATTGGTTTCGTAGAAACATTTATTTCATGCAAACAATCTAAGAACTGATTATATTATATTCCGTATCCGGGCTATTGTATACCCACATTAGTTATTACTTTTTAAATTTAATAGGTATTAACACTATTTTAAATAACGATAAACGCAGAACTTGCGTTTTAATTATGAATAACGATAAACGCAAAAGTTGAATAACGTTTTGTTCTGTATAACGATAAACTCAAAACTTGAGTGACGTTTTAATCGTAAATAACATAGTACGGTATTTTTTTTCATATGCAAGTCCTGATATTTTAATATAATTTTAATTTCCAAACTATTGTTATAGTAAAAATTATAGTTAAAATAAATAATTAAAAATGTACGTAATGAAAAAATAGTGAACATTTCTTAAAATGTATCTATTAAAATAAATAGTCTATTACAATTTTTTCCCTTGATATCGTGAACCAACTTGGTTCTATTTATACTTATTGTACGCATTTATGGTGAATTCCATACGTTCTTTTTCTTTTGTACTTGACATTTTCTGATAATTAAACAATGTAATCGATCTGATTTTAGTTTCGGTTTCTCACTAAAATTCCATCAATACTTTTATAATTAAATAAATATGTGGAGGAGGGTGATAACATTGGCTGTTATATGTGCGATGAAAGCTTTCAGAACCATTAGTTGTCCTATAAAAAGTATAAGTAACTATTTATTTATTTATTTATTTATTTTAGAAACTAGAAGAAAAAAAAGAAACTTATGCTACAAATGGGATTTCAATTTACTTCCAAGAGGAACCATTTGTTATTTTTATATTAACTCCGATTATGAAATGAACCCTTGATTTACCATTATCCAAAGATATTCTATTTGTCGACTCAACTAGTTCTTGTGATCCTGAAAACCATTGCATTACATTTTTACTTACTCGATGTGCTGCTGGTGCAGCTACTTTAGGTGTAATTATATCCTAAGGCCAAAGCGAAGCATCTTATTCAAGTGGATGTAATTTAATAAAGCAAAATGTAAAAAATTAATTTGGTGGTTAAGGTTTCCCATCTTTATTTTTGACAGATAACTCAATGCCAAAAACAATGCACTGAAAACTGTCTGGCCGCAGTCGAGATCACTACTTTGCATTTTGCATGTACTGCAATCGCCAATCAGTTTGGAGATGGCTCTTGGACAGTAAAAATAATATAAAAAAGTGCTCTACTTTACAGTAGGTTACAAGTTGGTCACTGTATAATGGATGGTATGAAATTTGAATTCAATGATATGATATCATTGTATAAAAAAAACGATTCTGAGCGAAAACGGTCAGTCAGCCTATGATAATACTAAGTATATTTTATGGTATTATTGTGAATAAAGTAATTTATATATTTACCTATTTACGTGGACCCTTGTTTTAAATTTTCAATCCTTAGCTATAAAAGTTGAACATTTTATACATTTTTAACTACAAAATAATTATTACATTTTAAATATAATAAATTTTGTCAAAATTCGAACTTTAATTAATGCTTATAAAAAAAAATTGTGACTGAGGATTTTTAATATTTAAAATGAATATGTGAATAAGAGAATATTTTTTTTTAATATTTTTCAACTGCAATTGTTACAATATATCTAGAGACTTTTATCATGCTTTTTTACCCAACAAATAAAATTTAATTGATATTTATAGAAAAAAAAAACTAAGAAAATTGAAAACTGACAATAAACGTAAACATCTCAAAAAGAGTCAAAATATTTTTAAATTTTTATGGTGTACAGAAAATGAAAATATAAACATTCAGTAAGGTTTTCATGATTCTACAGTCATTCGTTTTTAAATAACAATAAAATAACATGAAAAATCGAAGAAGTTCAAACGTTCAGAAAAATTTAATTTGATTTGCTTGAAGACATTTTTTTTTTGATATAGGTATATAAACTTATGAGTAATTTTGTATTACATTTTAAAATCTAAGATTTAAAAAGAAAAATTTTTATAAATTCTCAACTCAAAATAATTTGCTAATTTTAGTGAATTTTCCGTATTTTGTCAAGATTTGAACTTTAAATGCTTATAAAAAAAATTGTGACTAAGGATTTTTAATATTTTTCAACTGCTATTGTAACAATATAGTAGGAGCCTTGTGTTGAATTTTCAAGCTTTTTTACCCAACAAATAAAGTTTTCGATTCTGAGCGGAGACGGTATGTCCTTCTAGGTATAAGACATATTATATACTTATCTATGGTATTAAAAAAATTGACCTATAATGAATTCCAAATTAATCATATCACAATATCCATTAGGTACTTATAACGCGTTATACACCAACAACAAACCCTGATACTATCATAGATATATAGTAGTATACTAGTATACTTTAGAAGTTTCAAGTACCCACGAATAATATTATACAATCACAACAAAATAACTAAAATAGTTATTCTAGGTTTTTTTTATGTAATTTCATCCAAATTTGAACTTAAAATTACTATAAAAATAAACTGTGCTTATGTATATTATAGATTTTTGGTAACAGAATTAACTACTTACGTAGAACCTTGTTTTAAATTTTCAATCCTTAGATATAAAAGTTGAACATTTTATAACCTTTTAACTACAAAATAATTATTCAATTTTAAATTTGATAAATTTAGTCAAAATTGATCTTTAAATGCTTATAAAAAAAAACTGTGAATGTGTATTTTTAATATTTTTCAACTGATATTGTAAAAATATATCAAGAGCCTTGTATTAAATTTTTACACTTTTTGGCCCAACAGATAAAACTTTATTGATATTTATAGAAAAAAAAAATTAAAAAATTAAAAACTGAAAATGTCCTTAAACAGCTCAAAAAGAGTCAAAGTATTTTCAAAATAGTATGTTGTATAGGAAATGCTAATATAAACATTCAGTGAAATTTCCTTGTATCTACAGTTAGGTATTCGTTTTTGAATTAAAATAATGACAAAATAAGGAAATCGCCACACAAAGAATTGAATTTCAAACGCTCATAAAAATTTAATTTGACTTTCTTATAGACATTTTTTTTTTGATAAACGTAGAAAATCTTATAAGGAATCTTATAAGGAATCATTTTAATATTTTATTCATGTTTATTGTTAATATTATTAGCACGTTCATGTTCATATTATTCCAAGAAAGTTTGGAGATTTTTTGGTGAATGATGATATATACAGAAAATTACAAAATGAAAAATACTGCACTGATCCAATGAGAAGCTATGATGAGATGGCACAAGAAGCTAAATTATTAAGATCGTTATTTTAATAACTTAGTTTTAAAAAGTATTGCTATTAGTTGTTTAAATTAAATTGTTGCCTTTTACCAATAATTATAATAAAAATATAAACTATATCACTATAAATTAAAATTCATGTTTTTTTTTTTTCTCACTTTATTCTTAAACTATTAGGTAATGTATAATATAATCGAGTATCATGTAGTGAATACAACAAAAATGGACATAACAAATTTTCTTCAAATAAAAAAAAAGTTCCGTTTTCCACTAAAAAATAAAATTATTACCAACTCTTAGAAATATGAAAACATTGAACTTAGTTTCCTCCATAAAACAAGTTTTGGCTATTATATTTTATTAAATTAAATTTTTTTGGCAGGGTGATACAATAGTATTATTATACTTATGATTGGCTATAAAACACCTTAAAATAAAACTATAATTTAATATTTGGTATGTATCAACATATAACATTAATTTAAAATATTACAACACAATGATTTTTCAGAAGAAAATTGAGTTTAATGTTTTTATTTGTACATAGGTTATTAGGAAACTTTATTCTTTTGAGGAAAAATTCTTTTTTTATGTATGAAGGAAATATGACTGGCCCACAAAATATTAAGTGTTAGGAAGTTAATTTTAAATGGTAACTGTGAAGAATTAATACAAAATAGTGTATACACAAATAAATAATATGTTTTTGATAGAACAAGGATGTAATATATAATTAATACAAATTGGTTTTCTTCATAATTTGAAGAAATTCTTCTTGACTGACTTCACCATCACCGTCTTTATCTGCTTCGTCTATCATTTCCTACAATAGTCATATCACAATCAAAAATAAATCAAATTAGTTTTATATAGTTGTATGTAATTATATAAATCATGGGTTTTATTTTTAGTAGGTCAATAATAATTTACTTTGATTTTTTTTTTATTTCTATTTATTACATTTTATTAAAACAAGAGTAATCCATAATATATCAATTATGAATTCCTACCCATCTAAATAATTTAAATATTTTTATTTTCACTGATACTGAGCAGTAGTTTCTAATAAACTAGTAATAAAACAAAGTCTGATTGTACCCAATTTTTAAATGTTACAGTTAATTGTACAGTATTTTCTGAGTAACTATATTCTATATTGATATTCAAATTTTGTTTTATCGTTGATAATAATTATCCGCCACAATTAGAAGTGTACTAGTGACGTGTGACCACAATGCTTCCAAACTAATAGTTATCACAAAGATAGAGATCAACAATGACAAAAAAAACCGGCCAAGTGCGAGTCCAACTCGAGCACGAAGGATTCCGTACCATCATCAGCTATGTTGGCAACACTGCTTATATTATATATTGTAGGATTTTTAGTATTGAGGAGAAGTAATGCTAAAGCGGTTCCTCTTCCGTCCCTCGATTAACTCGAAAAAAAAAGAAAGGATTTTTAGTATTTGTTGTTATAGCATCCATGGAAATACATAATCTGGGAAAATTTCAACTTTCTAACTTTCATGGTCCATGAGATACAGCCTGGTGACAGACGGACGGACAGCGGATCCTTAGTAATGGGCTTCCGTTTTACCGTACGGAACCTTAAAAAGGTGACTAGTATGTTGTGGATTTCCAAAATTTAAACAAAATGGGTCGTACTGTGAAAACATTAGGAATCTCTGGCATAAATTGTTGCATCCTTGGGGTTTTCTTTTTACTTCTGCTCAGTGGGGGAGGGGGCAATTTCTCTTTGAACACCTGCCTACAAAGAAAGACTGCCCATTATGAGTTATTCCACTCGGCCACTACATCCCCCCGACTATAAAACTAAAATATGTAAATTATAAATAGTTTAAATGTATCAACATTTATATTTAAAATAATTTATATTAACCTGAAGTTCTTCATCGACAATATTCTCGCCTAATTCTTGGGCAATACGTTTTAAATTGGAGAAGGTTATTTTTCCTGTACAGTCATCATCAAAAAGTTTAAATGCTTTAATAATTTCTTCTTTTGAATCTTTATCTGTCATTTTTATGGACATCAAAGTGACAAAATCATCATATGTTATGACGCCTACATAAAATATAAAATATTGATTATTGATATTTTAAATTTATCACAACTACTTTAAAGTAACTAGGTAGGTATAACCTAAATTTTGATCATTAAAAATATAACTTACCAGTGTGCTGTTTATTAATGTTAAGCAACATACGTTTGATTTCTTCTTTTTTTGGTTCAAATCCTAAGGCCCTCATGGCTACCTAAAATTTTAATAAAGTTAATCATATAAGTAATATCATTTTAAACTAAAAATAATTTCTAACCCACATTTCTACCATACTACTATACTATTTCAACTCACTGATATCACACAGTGACCATAGTTAATTATAAAACTGAAAAGATGGCCTCAAGCTCAGTTATTTTAATCAATAGATGCATCTAAATTCTAAATACCTTTAGCTCTTTGGTTCCGATTGACCCAGATCCATCTACGTTAAACAATTCAAACGCTTCTCTTATATCAGCCATCTGTTTTTCACTGAACTCAAATGTGTTGCCTCCACTCTTTTTCCGGTTTGTCGCTGGCATATTTACACCGACTTATTGTGTTGGCAATAAGAACAATCTAAACAAAAATATAAATCATGTTTAAGCGTGTGTTTAAAGAACCGTACACTTGACGTCTCAGTTGTCCTGCTGCTAAATTTTAAGAAAACATGTTTATAAATGAATGTCAAATCCAGTGTACCAAGTAGGTAAGTGCAATACTGTGTGTAGGTACTATTAATAATAATTTGTATTCGCTAAGGTAAACACTGAAAATTCAGTGGGATTTGCAAAAGAAATAATGAGAACGACGAGGGGACTATCGTTTGAGGAGTACAAATCCGACAAGAAAATGGTTGGTGCACGGGTACCAAGTTCTGTAAGGTTGGTGAGGGGGTAAGAAATCAGATTTGAGTAAAAACAAGTGACAACTCATTATATCCGCGTTCCTTATGTCCACTGCAGTTTTGTTACTTTTAGTATCTCATAACAACTCCAAAACGAAAACAGAAAAATAACATTTTCCGTGTCTGAAATCAGTGGAACGTAAATTGTGTGAACGAGTTTATAGCGTACTTTCGTCATAATATTTAAAAACAACCATGACGGTCGTGCACACCAACCTAAAGACGGAGCGACGGTCGTCGAATCGATAGCGAACGCCAATGGGCACAGAATATTATCACGGGCAAAAAGCAAGAGACGTCAGCACGGCTTTGTTTTCCAGTTATCGACGAAAACGACCATCAGTGGAATACTGGAATACTATAGATCGATGACGAGTGATGGGGCTGAACTACAGCGCACAACAATATCACACAACTAATCGGGAGACGACTTATTTTTTTTAGTTGTGTAAACAAATTGTTTCTAGGCAACGCGACGTCAAGGAAAACATAAACAAATACGAAAACCATGACGAAATGAGAGGACGTAACAGAGGGCCCTATGCCTCCAACCCTGACAAATAACAATCATTTCGTTCGGTAATCGATTTTATACATACGGGCGGCGGTGAGAGCCGGAATGGTAGAGGATGAGGAAACTTTTTTGTTTTATTCTTTCGTTACTCACATTACCATATTCCCTCAGGATTGGTCTAGTCTCAGAGAAATAGTAAATAGCAATGTGGATTTATAAATATTTATTTTATTATATTTATTATAATCATAAATCCACCTTGATATTATGATTTTGCCTCTGCTAGAATGAGAGGCAAAGATATAAACAGTCCTGCTCTCTTCCCCATTACTTTTCACTATCTGTTCTTTAATATCTATAGGGGTGCGTTCCGGCTGGACGCTTTGTACGCTTCAAGCGCTCATGAGCGCACCCAGTGAGTTCCACTTGGCATTTATAACACAGAACAAACAGAAGGGAATCTTATTTCATTTAACATAGGCTCTTATGGGAGATGATAAAAAACAATAATAGTAGGAGCCTTGTATTAAATTTTCAAATATTTTTACTAAACAAATAAATTTTTATTGATATTCATAAAAAGAAAAACTAATAAAATTGGAAACTGAAAATGTCCCTAAACAGTTCAAAATAAACAAAAATATTTTGAAAATGTTTTTGTGTATAAAAAATATAAGTACAAACAACCAGTGAAAATTTCATATATTACACATTCATTTGTTTTAGAGTTACACCAAAATCCAAAATCGATTTTGTGGAAAACAGATTTTGCGTGAAAATTCCCGGTTTTCCTTAATTTTTATGTTGTTTTTCCCGGCGCTTGTGAGAACTATTGGGAATTTTAAAATTTGACCTTCCGATTGCACCAACTAGATTCACTTTCCCATCGAACAAGATACTGTTGAAGAAAATCGAAGCAGTTTTACTGCCCCAAATCGTGATGACAGACACAAAAAAAAAAAACACACACATCATTGTAAAATCAATACATTCATCGTTGAACCAAATATTAGTGTTTGTTCTTGTGAAGCAGGTATTCATGGACAATTTCGTAAACACCAATGCATAATTTATAAATATTTTAATAAAATTGGAGTTAACTTTCCTCCATTAACCATAGAAGACAATTACTTAATAGCAAAACTGTCATTAGGTGAAAAAGTACCAATAATAAGACATTTTATGAGGGCTTATTACCTACAGAAGTAATTCATAAACAGTTACTATTTTATCTCATTATGAAATTCATTAAGATATTGATTATGTTGATGATGCAAATAAAAAGGTTTCAACAGAAAATCTCAATTTAGAAAAACGTAATTGTTTATCCATATCAGATGAAATTACTCAACAAATGTCTATTAATATAAAACAAATATGGCGAATCAACTTATGAAAATGTATTAATATTTAAAAAAAGACTAGATAAAATACATACATAGAGTTTAATACATTTTTAGCAACAGCAGGTACATCATCATTATTTCTTAGACATAGAGATGGAGCGTCACTTTGAATTCTCCTCTAAATTTACTATTCTTTGACTGTCGTACATTTTTCATATTCTTTATCAATGTATTTCAATTTTAATTATAAATATAATCTATTTTTACCCTTTTTGTTAGTAAATTTCTGCGTAAAAAAAAAATAATAATCAGAAAAATGAAATCGTCAAAGCATAGATATTTTAGTGACAAATTCAAATCTGCTTTCAAAATTAATATCTGAACATTATATTGGGCTTAGTGATTGAAGTCGTGAGCTACGTTTTCAACTAAAATTGAATCACGCTCCAGCCCTCTTAATATATGAAATAAAGTTATAAGTTATAACATTTATTTCAGCTGAACAATTTTTAAAGTGTACAATAAAAAAAAATGGTAATGTACACAATTATTTCATATAAATATTCATTAAGTTAAATTAGTATTTGCATAACATATGAATTGTCAGATAACACCATTATTGCATCTGTAGACAAATTTTCCACTAAAATATATCTTTTTTTTTAATATGTTAACAACTTTAATATATTGTTTCATTAAAATAATAATTGCTTTGCAATAGAATACAATACTAAAACTGCTTTGGTCTACTTAATATTAAAATTAAAAATCAGGTTTTTTAAAAGATTTAAAATAGTTGTATAAATAGTTCTTACTTATTTATGCATGTAAAAATATTTCTTTATACAAAAGTTCAGTGTTATGATATGAGATTTTCTCAGATGGCTATAGCATTAGCCGAGAATGGAGCAGATATTTTAACGTATCCATCAGCATTTTTCTTCGGAACAGGTGCTTATCATTGGGAAATATTATTGCGAGCCAGAGCCATTGAAACTCAATGTTATGTAATTGCTGCTGCACAAACCGGCAATCATAGCTCAGCTAGAAAATCTTGGGGTCACTCACTGGTTTGTTTGATTACTATTTAACTTGTAAATAGTTTTATATTAAACATTGTGTAGGTAGTTGATCCACTAGGAACAGTAATAGCACAATGTTCTGAAGAACCGGGTTTTGTTTTGGCACCAATTGATTTATCATTAATTAAAAGTATTCGTCAGTCAATGCCTCTGGAATGCCATAGACGATACGATATTTACCCAAAAATGATTTCAAGTACCTTATGTAGGACTAAGTCTATTGAAGATTTTAATGAATTTAAATTTGGATCATCAATAGTTAAAGGTTTACAAGTATTTTACAAAACAGAATTATCCTTAGCATTTACCAATATTAAATGTGTCTTACCAGGACGTATCCTTTTTGAATGTATTGAATCTATAATAATTTTAATTTTTTTTTCCATGTAATATTTTCATTAAGTAGGTATCAATAAGTAGATGTTTTAGTTGCTCCTCTTAGAGCTGTGGAAATATTGACTGACTTATCTAATTACGAAGTTGTGCTTCTATTCCTTGCAGTTAAAAAGGGTTCAAAAAACCATTGAACAAGTACAAAACACTAATTCATCATCTATTGTTATTCAAGACGGTCCACATGCTGGACAAACCATTAAAGTATGTACTATTAATTTTATTTTAATATATTAGATACTGTGGTTAAATTCTTCGGTAGGTATGTGAACATTTCTTGGTTTCTAGTATCAGATACAAAGTTGAAAGTTCTATAAGAAATTGAGGATTTTAATTTTTATTATCAGATCTGCAAGAATTAATATTATGAACAAAAACTGATTTTCTAAAATATATATATTTAGTAGTTCATCCTAAATGGTACTATTTTATTTTTATATCGAAATTAGTTACTCTCATTATTTATTTGATTAATGATTTCTTTTAAAATTAACTTTATGCTTCAAAGTGTACATTTAATTTGTACATACAATTAATTATTATAATACAAATGAATAAAAATATTTAAAAACAAGAGAAGACCTGAAACAAATACAATTCATTTTGCTCCTAAAGGTATTTACTGTTAAATATTTATTAGATAATAATTATCTTAATTAAAAGGGTTAGTTTTTTATCAAAATCAAAAAAGAAAAGTAGTATAAAAATATTTTTAGTACTAAACTGTTTAGGTAGGTACTAAACTATGAAAATGTGACTTTAAGTACAAAAAGTATTAATTTAATTTGAATGTTATACACAATGACACGGTCATCAAACATTTTAATATTTTATTCATGTTTATTGTTAATATTATTAGCACGTTCATGTTCATATTATTCCAAGAAAGTCTGGAGATTTTTTGGTGAATGATGATATATACAGAAAATTACAAAATGAAAAATACTGCACTGATCCAATGAGAAGCTATGATGAGATGGCACAAGAAGCTAAATTATTAAGATCGTTATTTTAATAACTTAGTTTTAAAAAGTATTGCTATTAGTTGTTTAAATTAAATTGTTGCCTTTTACCAATAATTATAATAAAAATATAAACTATATCACTATAAATTAAAATTCATGTTTTTTTTTTCTCACTTTATTCTTAAACTATTAGGTAATGTATAATATAATCGAGTATCATGTAGTGAATACAACAAAAATGGACATAACAAATTTTCTTCAAATAAAAAAAAAGTTCCGTTTTCCACTAAAAAATAAAATTATTACCAACTCTTAGAAATATGAAAACATTGAACTTAGTTTCCTCCATAAAACAAGTTTTGGCTATTATATTTTATTAAATTAAATTTTTTTGGCAGGGTGATACAATAGTATTATTATACTTATGATTGGCTATAAAACACCTTAAAATAAAACTATAATTTAATATTTGGTATGTATCAACATATAACATTAATTTAAAATATTACAACACAATGATTTTTCAGAAGAAAATTGAGTTTAATGTTTTTATTTGTACATAGGTTATTAGGAAACTTTATTCTTTTGAGGAAAAATTCTTTTTTTATGTATGAAGGAAATATGACTGGCCCACAAAATATTAAGTGTTAGGAAGTTAATTTTAAATGGTAACTGTGAAGAATTAATACAAAATAGTGTATACACAAATAAATAATATGTTTTTGATAGAACAAGGATGTAATATATAATTAATACAAATTGGTTTTCTTCATAATTTGAAGAAATTCTTCTTGGCTGACTTCACCATCACCGTCTTTATCTGCTTCGTCTATCATTTCCTACAATAGTCATATCACAATCAAAAATAAATCAAATTAGTTTTATATAGTTGTATGTAATTATATAAATCATGGGTTTTATTTTTAGTAGGTCAATAATAATTTACTTTGATTTTTTTTTTAATTCTATTTATTACATTTTATTAAAACAAGAGTAATCCATAATATATCAATTATGAATTCCTACCCATCTAAATAATTTAAATATTTTTATTTTCACTGATACTGAGCAGTAGTTTCTAATAAACTACCTAGTAATAAAACAAAGTCTGATTGTACCCAATTTTTAAATGTTACAGTTAATTGTACAGTATTTTCTGAGTAACTATATTTTATATTGATATTCAAATTTTGTTTTATCGTTGATAATAATTATCCGCCACAATTAGAAGTGTACTAGTGACGTGTGACCACAATGCTTCCAAACTAATAGTTATCACAAAGATAGAGATCAACAATGACAAAAAAAACCGGCCAAGTGCGAGTCCAACTCGAGCACGAAGGATTCCGTACCATCATCAGCTATGTTGGCAACACTGCTTATATTATATATTGTAGGATTTTTAGTATTGAGGAGAAGTAATGCTAAAGCGGTTCCTCTTCCGTCCCTCGATTAACTCGAAAAAAAAAGAAAGGATTTTTAGTATTTGTTGTTATAGCATCCATGGAAATACATAATCTGGGAAAATTTCAACTTTCTAACTTTCATGGTCCATGAGATACAGCCTGGTGACAGACGGACGGACAGCGGATCCTTAGTAATGGGCTTCCGTTTTACCGTACGGAACCTTAAAAAGGTGACTAGTATGTTGTGGATTTCCAAAATTTAAACAAAATGGGTCGTACTGTGAAAACATTAGGAATCTCTGGCATAAATTGTTGCATCCTTGGGGTTTTCTTTTTACTTCTGCTCAGTGGGGGAGGGGGCAATTTCTCATTGAACACCTGCCTACAAAGAAAGACTGCCCATTATGAGTTATTCCACTCGGCCACTACATCCCCCCGACTATAAAACTAAAATATGTAAATTATAAATAGTTTAAATGTATCAACATTTATATTTAAAATAATTTATATTAACCTGAAGTTCTTCATCGACAATATTCTCGCCTAATTCTTGGGCAATACGTTTTAAATTGGAGAAGGTTATTTTTCCTGTACAGTCATCATCAAACAGTTTAAATGCTTTAATAATTTCTTCTTTTGAATCTTTATCTGCCATTTTTATGGACATCAAAGTGACAAAATCATCATATGTTATGACGCCTACATAAAATATAAAATATTGATTATTGATATTTTAAATTTATCACAACTACTTTAAAGTAACTAGGTAGGTATAACCTAAATTTTGATCATTAAAAATATAACTTACCAGTGTGCTGTTTATTAATGTTAAGCAACATACGTTTGATTTCTTCTTTTTTTGGTTCAAATCCTAAGGCCCTCATGGCTACCTAAAATTTTAATAAAGTTAATCATATAAGTAATATCATTTTAAACTAAAAATAATTTCTAACCCACATTTCTACCATACTACTAGGTATACTATTTCAACTCACTGATATCACACAGTGACCATAGTTAATTATAAAACTGAAAAGATGGCCTCAAGCTCAGTTATTTTAATCAATAGATGCATCTAAATTCTAAATACCTTTAGCTCTTTGGTTCCGATTGACCCAGATCCATCTACGTTAAACAATTCAAACGCTTCTCTTATATCAGCCATCTGTTTTTCACTGAACTCAAATGTGTTGCCTCCACTCTTTTTCCGGTTTGTCGCTGGCATATTTACACCGACTTATTGTGTTGGCAATAAGAACAATCTAAACAAAAATATAAATCATGTTTAAGCGTGTGTTTAAAGAACCGTACACTTGACGTCTCAGTTGTCCTGCTGCTATATTTTAAGAAAACGTGTTTATAAATGAATGTCAAATCCAGTGTACCAAGTAGGTAAATGCAATACTGTGTGTAGGTACTATTAATAATAATTTGTATTCGCTAAGGTAAACACTGAAAATTCAGTGGGATTTGCAAAAGAAATAATGAGAACGACGAGGGGACTATCGTTTGAGGAGTACAAATCCGACGAGAAAATGGTTGGTGCACGGGTACCAAGTTCTGTAAGGTTGGTGAGGGGGTAAGAAATCAGATTTGAGTAAAAACAAGTGACAACTCATTATATCCGCGTTCCTTATGTCCACTGCAGTTTTGTTACTTTTAGTATCTCATAACAACTCCAAAACGAAAACAGAAAAATAACATTTTCCGTGTCTGAAATCAGTGGAACGTAAATTGTGTGAACGAGTTTATAGCGTACTTTCGTCATAATATTTAAAAACAACCATGACGGTCGTGCACACCAACCTAAAGACGGAGCGACGGTCGTCGAATCGATGGCGAACGCCAATGGGCACAGAATATTATCACGGGCAAAAAGCAAGAGACGTCAGCACGGCTTTGTTTTCCAGTTATCGACGAAAACGACCATCAGTGGAATACTGGAATACTATAGATCGATGACGAGTGATGGGACTGAACTACAGCGCACAACAATATCACACAACTAATCGGGAGACGACTTATTTTTTTTAGTTGTGTAAACAAATTGTTCGCGGCTAACCGTGTCTAGGCAACGCGACGTCAAGGAAAACATAAACAAATACGAAAACCATGACGAAATGAGAGGACGTAACAGAGGGCCCTATGCCTCCAACCCTGACAAATAACAATCATTTCGTTCGGTAATCGATTTTATACATACGGGCGGCGGTGAGAGCCGGAATGGTAGAGGATGAGGAAACTTTTTTGTTTTATTCTTTCGTTACTCACATTCAGTGGCGGCGTGATAGGGTGTTTCATGAGGCAATTGCCTCACAACCAATTAGGTGGTGGTACCCCCCCCCCCCCCCGGGTACGGATATTAAAAACCACCTATGAAATATGGTCAAGGGGACGGGGTGGCCGAGTGGTCTAAGGCGTCGGTTGCGATGCAGCCGGTGCCAGCTCGATTCCTTGGTCGCGGGCGGCAATTTTCTTTGGGCAAGTCACGGTGAATAAGTGCCGCCATCTCCCACCCGGGCATGGCAAATACCTACGGGTGCCCCAAATAAAAAATTCTGCCAAAACAAACACACACGTGTAACAAATCTACAGTACCCTCCCCTACAGTACCACTGGCTAATGACCTAAGTTGTCGAAGTTTTAACACTAATAAAAAAAAATAAATAAATAAATAAATATGGTCAACTAATGCCTAACACTATTAATTATACTAATTTTATTATATTTCTGATATTAACACAACAAAGTATATTATAGTTGTAGAATTGTGAATTGGGGGTGTGGGGGCTTTGCCCCCACGGGTCTGTGTGATAAAATTTAGGTGGTGGTGGTGGTGGTCGAGCATTTATACTTGCCTCATAAAATAAAATAGTTCACGCCGCCACTGCTCACATTACCATATTCCCTCAGGATTGGTCTAGTCTCAGAGAAATAGTAAATAGCAATGTGGATTTATAAATATTTATTTTATTATATTTATTATAATCATAAATCCACCTTGATATTATGATTTTGCCTCTGCTAGAATGAGAGGCAAAGATAAAAACAGTCCTGCTCTCTTCCCCATTACTTTTCACTATCTGTTCTTTAATATCTATAAGTACAACACTACAACCAACAACAATAGCTAGGAGAAGACCAGGGATTACTAGAGGAAGTAAACTTTTGCTTGCAGGTACAATTAAGATACAAGATAAAACAATAACAATTTCAACAATAGCATATTTTACTTTAGGTAGACCAGTAACAAGTGATAGTAACCGTCCCAAAAAGAAGCCCAGAAATTTACAGCATAACATTAGAAATTGAGTGACTAATGCAAAATCACATTAATTAAAGTACCTATATTATGTATAAACTATAAATATTTCTTATAATAATATTAAAATATAATATGATCAAAAAATATATAATATACAATATGTTAAATAATTCCTATTCTAATTTTCATATTATAGTCTTGTAAATTTTAAAAGTGGGTACCTAATCAAAAGATATATAAATATTGTGTTAAATAAAAAGAAATAATTTGATAATTATATTTTTTAAACAGCATTTTAACCTTAAATTGAAGGTAACATTTGGTCATATTTAAAGTATTTTTAATATTAATAATGTTAAAATAGTTTAAATATTAACAAGATTAATTCATTAAACTCAATATTAATTTTAGTACTGTCTGTTGCTGATGCCAAAATTATTATTATTGTAGATACGGTATCTACTTTAATCACAAATTTCACTTGAGCTTTGCAACTTGTGTTTTTAGACAGTCCACTTGCCTATACTGGATAAATCTACTAAATTTGAACATATCTTGGTTACTTCGTCATTTTTTTCAATAATTAAATTGTTAAAAAAAGAAGGAAGATTACTAGAATTTAGTTTAAGATTCATTTTCACAAAAGTTCAAGAATAAAAGAATATTTTACAACTCATAAGCATTAATTACAGAAAATTGAACTAAAACAGATAACACAACTAGCAGAAAACAAAACCCCTCTAACCATATTAGAGTTGATGTGACTAAAAATAGAAATAATTTAATTGATAAAAATGTTCTATTAATTTCTAACTTACCTACTATGTTTGGTATTATGTTAATAAGTAAAAGTAATAAATATTTTTTATAATAATATTAAAATATGAACATATTATATTAAACTATAATTAATTCCATAAACTTATACTTAAGTATTACTAGGTCCTATTGGACTTATAACTGAGGGGTACCGATCAGGCCATGGTGGTGTCGACGGGTCGTGGGTGCTGATATCCGATGTGGGTTGAGCTGGTCGTCCACGGGTCCTCTTCAGGTCGTTGTCAGCCCTCGACTTCCACTGTCGACCATCCACTATGACTATTGACTCTCGACTCTAGCCTGGTTCCATCGACTACCGACTGCCGCTACACTATTTCTATATTCCGCCAGGAGTCCTGGTCGGTTATTAACACAATGTGAGCTAAACATTGGGTCAGCATAATATATATATCATACATATATACACATTTGCCATTACTAACACTCAGCATATTAGCAGTGCTAAACACAGGGAGTAATGTATGATGTCGATAACGACATGTTCGTTACACATATGACATATATACATACATATACACAATATACATACATATTATGACTATATGGTCATATATTTCATTGATTATTTCAATTTATTAATTTCCACATTGATTAGTTGATTAATTCGTACACCATTATCTGATTATTAATTAATAATCAGATACATAGTTAGGATACATACATATCAAATACATACATTAAGTGTTGAACTATGAATTTTTTCAAAGAATAGTCTACTATTTAGACAACAATGTTAGAAGTGCAAATACCCCGGGAAAATATCTGAATACTTAATAGGTAGGTACTTAACAAGTTTAAGTAATTCTTGAATTATAACCAAGATAATCAAACTTTTTTATTTGTGAGGAACCCAATCAAAATTCTAAACTGTAATCACAATGCGATTATTTATTTAGAACAGGTACCAAGTATTTTGTTCATTGAACCGTGAATTCAGATCTGAAAACAACTATCAAATTATAGTTTAAATCGGTGCTAATATTGATTTTGTATTACTAGTTATATGTTATACAGCAATATTGAAAAATAACAACCCAAATAAAGGACTTAATATGATGGAAAGCTTCTAAAAATGTTTTAAATTATAGAAGATAGGTATATATTATTAAAACAAAAAACACATAAATAGTCATTAAAACTAATAAAATGTTCTAGACGTAATATTAAGAAATATTATAATATATGTATAATGATAAGTTTCATTTGATTCTGCCGTTTATATTTAATTTTTAATGACCTGTCTTAGCAATAATTTAAAAAATTAGAATTTACTGGTAATCCAATAAATAATAGATGAATATTTAAAGAAGAAACATTTTTATTCCTTATCAGATCTTATACATTGTTACTCCACAATACAGCACCATTAACCTTATATGTTTAAGACAAATGCAATTATTTATCATAATTACACGAAAACTGTAAATATTATCGGTTACTACGACAGATACTATTTATACATTTTTAAATATATTTTATTCTATAATTAATTGTTATTGTAATTGTACAAATCATATTTAATTATTAATTATTATAAAAAATGTCATTATTTTTATGATATATAAAAATGTTCTGTGCTATAAAATGTTATTAATTTATTTTTATTATTTTATACTATTGTAATGTAACATTGCTATATCTATCAGAATTAAATTATAGGTCTTATGTTATATTAGTTATAATATTTTAGACTAAAAAACACTGGTCATACAGACTACTTAATATGTGGTCTACAGTTATTCAACTAATGATGTAAAAATGCATTACAATATTAAATCTAGAATTTAATGATTTAAAGTACATTTAAAAATGTTTACCGCAAAGACTATTTAAATTATGTAACTTATAAATGATACATTTTATAATTTTAAGTAAAAAAAAATATGGAACTTGAGTAACACATCAAAAAAATGTTATATTTTTACTAATATAATTGTATTGTATACTCATTAATAATGTAATAACATACAAGGTATTAACTTCAATAGGATAACATAAGAAAAATTAAAATAACAATAAGCCAAATGAAATAGATGACAGAATACCCAAGTCATTATTGAAGACTTTTACAGAATATTAAAACAGTTTTAGCACATTATATACATGGTATATTCATTTTAAACAGGTAAATAACATACAATTTATTTAATGAATAAAATAGTTATAACATAATAGGGAAATTATCATATATTATATCTTAATTGGGATTCATAGTTATTTGTAAGATTTACAATAGGTCTTTCGAAGCATTTAGGGTTAATATTGATTTAGTACATGGATTTACATTTCAATTGGCTATCAACACACGCTGATGTTATGTCAGTTATAAAATGAGCTTAAATAATCACAACCAAATCAGACTTAAGAAGAAATAGGGGACATAAAAGCAAGGTATACAGAAATTCATAATTTATAATTCATTAGTGTTGCTTTCAACATTTTCTATACCGCCATCAGTTGAATCTTTTTTCTTTTTCACTTGCTCATTTAATTCCTTGTATCTTGTCATACATTCTTCCTAAGAAACATTCAAAAAATATTACAACTTAGTTTAATACAAAAAATGTATTATTCATTAATAGTTGAAGTACTACAGAGAACATTACTTATAAATAATACAATTATTTTTTGGATTTTAAACTTACTTTAGTTTTATTTGGTACACATTTGGATATCTTTTCCCAACGATTTTCAGTGGATCCCTTAGGAAACTTAATAAGAGCATTTTCAAATGTTTTCTGTTGAATTTGAGTCCATGAGCTATCGCTGGAATCAAGATTTTCTGTCGCTCTTGTTTTAACCTTCTTTGGTTCTTCGGTGATAACTGACTCGGCTGTCTCTCCAGGAGTTGGCACCTTATACCCATTTTGTTTCATTTTATTGGCCATGTATGCAACTTCCGGAACAGGGCGTTGCATTGCTTTGCCAACCTTTTGCCACCTATCTGAGGTACCAGGAGGAAATTTATTTACCATCTGAGACAATTCATATAAATCTTCATCAGTCCACAAGCCACCAGCAACTGCAGGAGTATCACTACTTTCAGTAGTAACTTTTCCACGAGTATCTCCATTAGTGTTTTTATAATCATTAATTTCTGGTATCTTATATGGCGTTTTACGACGTCTTATTCTTTCACGAATAACTGGTTCTGGTTTTTCAAATTCCACTTTACTAAAAATAAATTAAGATTTTGTTATTTTAGCTATAAAGATAAAAATAATAGAACATTATTGCTTCAAAAACTAAAGCTAGATATATAATATGGTTGACTTGAAAATAATGGTGCTGTTTTTTTTCATGTTTAGTGTAAAAATAATGTAACTTTTGTGAAGACCACTACTAATTTAATAACTATACTCTGTTCCACAAGAGAACATGCAGGTGATAACAAGAATGTGTCAGCTCTGCACATCCAACGCTGAATACTCAATAGGTGACACATAATTGTAGAGGTGCTGCTTAATGTTGACAGCAGCTTATTATAGATGGCATGTGCAGTAATGTTGTATCGTTCATTGTCGGCGACATTTTGCCACATGGGGGGGGGGGTACAACAGCCTAGTTAATCGACAGACCTCATTCTACATGTGCAGAACTGGAATTTTCTTTCGTGGAACAGAGTATTTCTACATTTTAAAATTATTATTTTTTTTTTTTTTTTGTGCTATGAAACAAATTATTTTTATTTACCAAGTAGATATTCAGTGTTACAGAAAACTGTTGTAGTTGTTATAAATTAATAATTATCACCCATAAGATGTAGTTCTATGACAAAATACATAAATTACATAAATAACCACAATACCTTGGACTTATATATTATAACATTATAAAGAAAAATTAAATTTATATAATACTTTTTTATACCACTAATTTGTTGAGCACCCATAAATAACTTTTGAGTAAAAAAAGTTTATAATTAAACACGTAAATACTAATTTATTCAGATAAAACTGTGTTGTATAATAGCTATCACTAGTGAAGCAAGTGGTTTAATCCAAGTCATATATTGGAAAATTATTTACATTTATAAAGACAATATTTTTGTATAGGTACTTACATATTTAAATAAATATTTACTTCAAATGTTCTATCTTAAAAAGAAACACAATATAATATGCTTCATAGCTTATTGCAGTCAGTGCTGTTATTACTTTCATTGGAGCCCCTATTTAAATTTAAACATTTGCAGCCCTTTTTGACAACTTTTTCTGCCCCACGGCACTTTCCCATTTGCCATGCCCTCACCTTGGCACTGATCTGATTGCAGTGTCCAATTAACTCAGTATACTCTGTGCAACTCACTCGCACATCCAAATGAGTGAGCTTCACTATCTCGAGGTCTAAATTCTCCCACCCTGCGGTACCTTTATGTGAATACCTCTGAGCCACTAGCGGCGGCATTCAACAAATGACGTTCACGCTAGTAAAGCGAGAAGAATATACCCCAATGGACGAGTTTTAGTTGCTGCCTAGATGAGCTCTCTTATTGGACAGAGTATAGTGTGTAAATAAGCCAAATTAAATAAATACTTACTTTTGGTTATTTTTTCTTTCTTTGAACTTAGTGACCAAAAATGATATGGCTGAAGTTGTGAGTGAAGGTGATTTTAAGATGAATACCCATATCCAATAAGGTAATTGACATGGAAGTGTATTTTTCAAACTGAAAAATAATTTATGTAAGTATTATAAAAAAAAAACAAAAAAAAAACATATTAACATACCTAGGTTTTGGTATGTTCACATCAAATTCTGGTGGTAATGTTGAATCACCTCGATATTTCTTTTGTTTTCGAATTTTTTTTATTTTTGAACTCAATAACTCTTCCTAAAAAATATTAAAATAGACAATAATTAGTCAGCTGATATAAATTAATATTAAATCATTATTAGTTATTACATACCACAGTGAATTTATTTTCTATATACGATCCCCAAGCTACAAGATATTGTCCAACACTTATTATAGAAAAGAGAATAACAATCATTTCTAGGAATCCCATCCTTCTAACTCTTCTGTAGTAATAAACAGCATGATGCCAATCCGGTAACCCTTCACTTAAAACTTTGTCATAATGACCACGTTTTACAGGATCCCGTAAAACATCATGGATTGAAGCTAATTCCCTGAATCTGGCTTCAGCATCTGGAGAGTCATTCTTATCAGGATGTAAAATCAGTGACATCCTTCTAAATGCATGTCGTATTGCCGATGAATTAGCATCCTAAAAAAATGAATGATATTAAAATTATATAAATCAAATATGTATAAATATACTTATTAGCCTTACTAGATACCTTAGAATTATATGTACAATACTTTGCAGAAGTTTATTAAAGATACTAATAAAGTAAAGTCTACTTTTGAACATGTTCTATAAAAAATTAATTTAAAAAGGATTTAAATGTTTAAAATCTATTTTTTATTTGTTACAAATCATTAATTGTGTTTCATATTTGACCTATAATGGCAAATAAAAGAAAAAAATATATTATATAATTTGACAATGTTAAAAAATTAAAATATATCAAGTTTTTAGTATTATTTAAAATTGTATAAAACACGTAAGTTAATAAAAATAAATGAGTAATTAAAATTCTATGATCATTAAATAATTTACAACAATCGGTACTTATTTTGGTACATGAATGTCACACATTTGAAATTATATTTTATTCATGTTAGTTGACAATGTAGTCGACTTGTCTATATATTATAGGTATATATATAATATAGAGGGGGTACTTATTTTACAAACGTTATTAGCATATTATAAAATATTGTTATTAATTAATATTAATGATTTATTTCCTACATTATTTAATACTGCCATTCAATTTTTAAGATAAAAATATTTTGCCAAAACAAATAAAATGTATGACATTTAAGGATTTTTATAAAACTGTCTTAAGTTTTGTAAATGTTATATAAAAATAACATGATATAGCAGATGTTTAACCCGGAGACAGGGTGATATCAATAATCACCTTTATTTTAAATTATAAATAGGTTAAAATTTGTTATGATAATTTCATAGATAATTTAGTTGTACATACAATAGTTATAAAAAAGTATAGATAATACTCACTTCAGGTACTTCCAGAAACTGATAAAAATTTATATTATTCATTTCTTCAACGAGATCGAAAACCTCCATTTGATCAGTATCCCATGCTTGAATTGATACTGTGTTGATTGCCAACACAACTACAAATAAAGCTAACATTTTTGAACCTGAAAAACAAGTAAGTATGTTAGAGAATAACATAAGTAATATGAAATAGCTACATAATATGAATAAACCAAATAAATATAAATTTATGGATGGTATAATTAATATTGTATACCGTTTATATAATTTTAATATTTTTGCCCCGAGTTTTTGCTAGGTTTATGTTCTACATATTATAAGATGTTATTCGGTCAATTGCAACCCAATAGTAGGACATTTGACACATTGCAACCCCCGGTAGAACATTTTAATATAACACTTGAAAGAATTCGAAACAAACTTTTTTCATGCTAAAAAGATCTATTTTCATTCCAACATATTAAATTATTAAATACTGATCGACCTAGTTATGTCATATGGATTTTAAACAATTTTCATCATGTTATATGTCGCTAACAACTTTTAAACAAAGTAACTAATTAACATTTTAAAACTGTTCTATGATTTCAGATAAATAAACGGAAAAAGTTGTTACAGTAGTCACTCAATAATTCGGAATTTGATTTATAGAAGTTTTCGATTTACCGGGTGTTCGAATAATCGAGGGAAAACAAATTAATTCAAATTAAAAAGAGGTGAAAAATTGTATATATTAACCTATATTATATTTATTTTACATATATTATATTAAAATTAGATTAGGTAGGTATGGTACGATACCATTTAACCGACATCATTATTAGTTTCATTACGAGGATATCAAATAATCTTTATATGTACATCATACATATGAACTTACATATAATCGCATTTAAGAAAATTTGAATTATAGAGATTGGTGGAAAAAAATTTGAATTGTAAAGTGTGTCCCACCGACAGACATTTTGAATTATCGAGGGGATCGGAATACATGTATCTTCTTCTAATTATAGAGGTTTTATCAAGGGACTCAGATTTATGGAGTTCGATTTATGGAGTTTTTCGAATTATCGAGTGACCGCTGTTACAAACAGTATCCCAAGTAAATATTTTATATCGTTCAAATTCGTTTTCAATATTGTAATTCAACAAAAATAATATATGTAATAATATATTATGTTTGGAAATTATTCGCACACACCTGTCAAGGTCCGATATCTCTATAAGCTCGGCTAAATACTGACGGGTGGCAATTGACCTATATTCATGAGATACAAAGATAACAGAACTTGAGGTGATTCAGTGATGCACGTTTTGTAATATTTGTTTAGTACTATATTCTAGTGTAGGTTACCTACCAATCTTCTAATAAAATAAATTTTTAATTAATATATAGGTAACACTACTTACCTATAAATGCTAAATTAATTACTGAAGTAGGTATCTAATAACAATGGCGCAACTAGAAAAAATTCTGGGGGGGTTAGGGGTTGTACTACTCTCTAATAATAACTAAATGTTGAGTGTTAACAACAGAGTCAAACATGGACCATAGGTATGTGATTTTTATAGAATTAAATAGGTACCATCCACTAATAGCAAATCTTTTTAATTAATTTAGAAAAATAAAATAACAAAGAAAAATTTAATTATGTACCTAGGTACCTAAGCTTGACCAGCAAAAAAAGATTACTTAAATGATATTTCACACATAATAGCGAGCATAATAGGTAGTATTATTTATAAATTAGTTGTAAAAATGAATCTACTAAATGGTATTGAATATAGGTATAAAAGAATAAACCTAGTACCATATTATTACGTATTTAAAAAAATATATTAAAATTAGTCAAAAAATTATAAATTATTTTTTTAGAACCACCAACCCATTTAAAAAAAATTGCACCTTGACAATATAGGTAGGTAGGTACTTATTTTCAAGTTTTACTAGAATTTCCTAGCATTTACACACTGTGATGAAGTATAATAGCCTATATATTAAAATGCAAGTAATTTACGTCAAAAGCACATAATATTATAGTAGTATGATTGAAAAAGAATTAAATTTAACTACCTACCTAGTATATAGAATAATATAAAAGAAGGTATCTCGAAGGTTTTTCGTAAAATATACCTAGTTCTCATTCAAAAATCAACCTACCTACTTAAATGGCTATTTGAGTATATTTTAGTTTATTGGGCTATAGGTATTGTACAATGTACCTATTGTACAAAACAAAAAAAAAAACCAAAAAAAAAATAATTTTCTGAAAACAGAAAAACGTTTGAAATCAACGGAACAGAGCGTTTGACGAGTGATAAAACCAAAAACTCATAAGTCATAACTAAACCAGAAGAAATCAAATATATTATACAAACGACAAAAAAGTGTCACCATATTGTAGCGAAACTGGGTAGGTATGACGTACTACCTGCTGCTACCTATCCGTACCTGTAATTGTACGTTCCAGATTTTATAGTGCACACAAGTTCCGTAAAAATCTGATACGCGCAGACCACACACACACACACACACCCACACACACTTACGACTTACCTAAAATCATAATATTCGAAATCGGGACAACGATATTATAATCGGGTCGCGAAAATAATGACAATAAATTAGAAACAATAATAATTACCGATCATGTTTGCGGCGGCGGCACTGGCTTCCTAGTGGGTATGTAGGTTACCAAGAGAGGTGTTCTTCGCGAGCCCGTCCGTTGGCGGAGTCGAGAAACAGACACGTACCTATTTATCACTCGACGTCCTGCGGGTACAGTCGACGACCGGACGAGAAACGGATCCGCGCCCGACCGTCCGCGTGTGCGCGCGCGTTACCCAGTCGAAACGTGGCAGCCGACGGATCGGTTGCTGCTGCTGACGGCGACGACGAGCTACGTGTTGACGCCGCACGGACTAGACGACTGTGCCGCAGTGTCGTCGGTAGCTAGACGCTCGCGTTACAGCCTATGGGCAGAATAATGTGTGGACGACGTCTAGCGACCGGAGTAGGACTAGCCGCCAGCCCGACAAGTGATAACAGCTCGAACGGTGATAACGCCACGCACGCACACGCACACGGGCACGCACCACGCAAGCAAAACGTCAGTGGTTCTGTGCGCAGCGGAAAGGGGAGGGGATATTATCAGCCGACGCCGTGAGCGGGTGTGTACGCGGCGGCGCGGCGCTCGGAAGTTGGAAACCACCCACCAAATGTTGCTGCTTGCCGACGCGAGCCGCGTCGTCCACCCACGACCCGCCACCCCATCTGGTTGAGGTGCGGTGCGGGGGGTTCGGCCCACGCTCGTTCTCTGCGACCAGCAATTATTTATAAGGATAACGAAAGCGGGGAATGCGAATACCTACGTCGTCATCGTCGACGTGGGTACACGTTGCCAAAGTACACGCGTCCACGGTTTTCCGTCGAAAGTTCGGAACCCTACTGGTCGGAGGTGTAGGAGGGGAAAATGTACTCATTTTTCAAGTTAACACTACTAATGCTATACCTACGACCTACCTATAATTTAGTATGTCGTCTACTTTTGGACGTTACACGATACTACTCTCCATCGCATATACTTGTTAAAAATAAACGATAGTTCTTGGTCACGGGTTCGTTGTGGTGTTGCACACCCGGAATTAATAAGCCCCCCCCCCATTTTTTGGTCATCTCGATCTCGTTTGAATTTGTATTTTATTTTTACACAGATATCGCAAATCGATGGATATACCTAAACACTAAATACCATAGATCAAGATAATAATATGGTGGTAATAAAAAAATAAACATAAGATAAAAGTGCCATTTTGAACGCCATTTACCTATTCAAAATCCCGTACACCTACAACTACGACATAATATTACATTATTACAGAAAAAACTGTCGTGAGGGGGAGGGGAAGGAAACGAAACTATTCCCCCTCCCACAGAGCATGTACGCAACTGCAGCTATTGTGATATTATATTATTATATGTACAAATGTACAATGTACACAATCACATCGTTACGATACCTACCTATTTCAATTTAGCGTCTGGCCGGCACAATGTTTCACGACTCACGTAAGGTATAGCGCGTCACGCATTTCGAATTCCAAAAACCATTTAGCCACATAGATACAGGTCGGGAAAATGTGTTTTCTCAAGGTCGTCATCGCTATTACACGTCATGATTATCATTTATCGGTGCGACGAACTGGGTACCGAAGAACACAGACATCTATATAATATTAAATTACCTACCATTAGTATAGACGTCTGTGCCGTAGAATGACAATAATAATAAAACATTATAAATGCAATTAGCATTGATGATAAAATATACTAGTGTTTATAGTGAAGGAGCCGTATAGGTATAGTGCTTAGGTTTAGCTGGTATTTCTCACATAATATTACCATGTATAGTCGTGCTGACGTGCTACATAATAGTATATCGATGGCTAAAATATGTATGCCATAAACAATAAATTAGTAGTATTAAGATTTTCAATTATTTTAAACCAAATAATTTGTGTGAAGTTTTTTGTATTACAACTGATTTATTTGTAAAGTAATGTAGACTACAAACTACAACTACGACAACTACTTTGTCTTTTAGGTCTTAACTTTTTTTTCAATGTACCTACTTAATATAATGTCCAGTGGCGGATTTAATGAGGGTTCAGAGGGAACCGCCCCCACATTGCCTAGCATCTATAGGTTAATAAATTGAACCGTTTTTAAAAATTTGTATCTTAAAACTTGAAAGAAGACTAGACCTACAAAATTCTAGATCCGCCACTGATAATGTTTCTTACCCAGTACCCACCAACAAATTTAAATGGCCTTATTAGGCCTTTATAGGTTCAAAGTTTTTATGGATATATTATTATAATAGTTATTATTGATATAAAAAAAACTCGAATTGTTATTTATTTTGTCCACTATTATTTAGATTACGATAAAATATTTATTGTTCCTATACAGTATATATGTATATTGTATATCATGAATTTTAGGACTTGTTATAAGACGAGTGCACTAAAAAAACCTATCTTGCACTAAATACATAAACATTTAAAAATCAAAAAAAAACATGTCATAACTATTATGATATTTAATATTGGCTTTCAACAAGGTTGAATGAAAAAGAAAACCAAGATAAACCCAGTTCAGCCATCTATATTCTATATACGAGATTTATGAGTGAATACCTCGTACCAGTGTACCACTGCAGTGGTCACGTTGTTACTGCAGAAGTGCAGAGTGAAAATATAAAATGCCTCTATCTTCAAGATAATAATAGTTATAAATAGTTCACATCGCGACGCGTCGATACGAAATTATCGTAAATATAAACTCGAGTCGCCAAAAAAAAATCGAAATATTAAGAGCACGGCTAATTGGAGTGAAAGCCAGACGAGATATTGTATATAGTATAGGTATATAATAGGTACCTATATCGTATATACAGACTGATCGCGCCATCGCGGCCCACGGGTATACCGAGAGTGTCGGCCCGACGGCAATGGATTAGAATATTAGATATTTATACAGTATACAGCGTGTAGTTTTTTAGCGGAAGTAGTATTATAATAGTATTATTACAAATTTGCAGATATTAAATTATAAAAATTATTATAACACATCTGCGTTCGGATTTGAATTACCTACTAATATTAATATAATATAATCTGAATATGTAAAGATTTCAAATCGTTTACCTATACTGCTATACTATTTTTGAATAAACAATATAATATTATATTATAATAGTATTACCGAGGAGTTATAGGTACGAGGCTATACATGGCTACTTGGTTCGTATATGTACCTCCGTCCTACATATATAATTATTTATCATATTTTATTAGTATAATATTATACAAGTTACATGCACATTGCCCATTTGCACATATCAAATTGTCAAAACTACGAGGGTAGGTACTTAATAAATGTATAAACACAAGTTGATACATAAGCGTAACATTGTCGTACAATTTAAATATTCTACGATGGTTAATTTTTAAACCGTTCTTAAAAAAGTAAAAATATATTGCTAATTGCTATATTCGACATTTTTGAGATATTTAAGATAAAATATGTACGTAATAAAATGAATACTTACTCAAAATCAAATGTCTAAAACATATACAATAGTGTTTATATGTAATGATTGTATTACCTAATATAATATCTGCTGTCAACTGCCGTATGAACAATATTCACCTATTAGAAGCAATATCGTCAGCAGTAATGTTTTAAGGTGAGGGGGGACTTTTTAAACATCATGGTTTTTTTTTATACTAACAGAAAATTATAGCTGACTAAAATTATTTGAAATTTACTTTGCTCGTTTATTGTTCCTTTCCTTAACAGTTAACCATACATACATTCAACACGGTATGCCTACACTAAATTAGAAAAATATCAATATTAGTTTGAAAGATTGGATGTCATTTATTTGTAGCATTAATAAATGTATTTGAAAGTAATAATAGTTAACACGTACTGCACAGTGACTGCAATCAGCAATACACATAATAAAAATCATGGGAGTATAATACTTAAAAAAGGATGGCAAGTGATAACCGCTCTGCTATAAGGGGCAATATAGAGGGGTCACTGCATACAATGAATGAGTGAAATTTTAATTCAATTGTATTATTAATTAATTAATCATTGTAATTTTTAGGTAAATGAAAAACGATTCCAAGCTTATATTTTATGATATTATTGCTATTAAAGTATTTTATTTTATTATTAAGTAAAATAGTATATAAGACATAATTACATATTAAGTAAAACAGCTTAAGTTGAATTGATTTTTTCTGATAAAAACTGCATTTAGAAACGTCATTAGTCATTATTTATTCAATGTCTGTATTAAATATAATAAATAATAGTATACTTTAAAAGTTTCAAGTACCCACGGGCCATTAATAATATTTTGAAATTACAAACTAAAATTAACTAAAATTGTTACCTCTTCTTTCAAACGTCATATTTCGTCCTAATTTGAACTTAAAGTTTCTATATAAAAAAAACTTTGAGTAAGTATATGTATATTTTTTATATTTTTTGGTTCCAGTATCGATTACTTATGAGAAACCTTGTATTAAATATTCACACCGTTTTATGGTACAAATGTATAACAAGTCCCTTTTAAATTTGATGGAGGGTACTGGGAAAGAAACTGTACCAGTGGCGGATCTAGAAATTTGTTTTGGGGGGCCCATTGTCTTTTTTCAAGTTTTACGACACAAATTTTTAAAAATGGGCCAATTTATTAACCTATAGATGCTAGGCGAATGTGGGGGCGGGCCATTCTGAGGGGTCATTAAATCCGCAATTTTACATGTACATTGTACATTATATTAATAACGTTGAAAAAATGTTAAGACCTAAAAGACAAAAGTAGTGATTCTTGTAGTCTATATTATTACTTTACAAATAAATCAGTTGTAACACTGAAAATAAAAAGGTGGGCAAGTGGGTGTCGCTCTGCTGTACAGTAGGTTACAAGTGGGTCACTGTATAATGCGGATGATATTAAATTTGAATTCAACGATATAATATCATTGTATAAGAAAAACGATTCTGAGCGGAGACGGTATGTCAGTCTATGTATAAGACATATTATATACATATCTATGGTATTAAACAA